AATTAAAAATTGTTATTTTACGGTGATAATCTTGTTTTCTTGTGCCCAATAATGCATAATTTCATTTGATAAACAAGTTTAGATTGAATGGTAATTTATAATCAGTCACAAGAACGTTGAATCTGAATCACTTGAAAAAAACGCGGGGGTGCTTAACTTTTTTCCAGGTGTATATTAATGATTACTGTAATCTAGTAAAACATTAGCTGTGACTAGTGTTTTAACAATATTCAATGTTGTCCCAAGCAATAACTTGTAGATACCAAGTGATGCCAGAATGAAGAAGGTTTTAGCTATTGTTAGACATTTTGTGGCTGGAACTGACATGCAAATGATAAGTTTAGAAATTATAAAATTTAACTATATATGAAAGATAATTTTCTCTCAAATTTTTTTAATAAATTAATGCTACTACTGAACTCATTGCAGATCTTTGCAAAACTTTCACTCAAACTTGGTTATTTTTCATTCATTTTTAATTTAATTATCAAAGGAGCCTTGTTTAACTAAGGGAGAAAACACTGACTCAATGACAGGAGGGGAAAGTAAGGAAAGAAAAAATAATGATACCTTAAAAATTAATGCTCTTAATATCAGGTAACTATAAATCATTATGCTTATGCATAAAAATACTTCAACAGATGTACTTACTTAATTCAGAATCTATATAATTAAAAGAGTTATGTGTATGCATGTGTAGTAAACTTTTATATTTCATTAAACTACAAGAAAATGGAATTACAAATAAGGAAGTATGAATGACATCACCATATGTGTAATGAAGGGGTGGGTGTAGATAGTACTATGCATTGCAAAGGAAAAGATATTTGGGGAATAGATCTAAATATTTCAGGTTTACAAAGCATCGCTAGATCTCTCTTACTGGATAATTTGATTGGCTTGTCACTTTTGATTAGACCATTTGGCTTAAAGTGTCTTTTGTACTAGAAGTGTTTGATGGATATTACATGTTTAACCTTAGGTTTAACCTCACAGTCATTAAGATGCCTTTGCACAGCCATTAGATTTGATTCATTCATAATTTCACATACCTAAGTATATATGTGAATAGCCTAGGCAGATCTCTTAACTCTTTTAATTACTTTAAATATACAGCACTGCTTTTATATTTTATAAACTTTGTGCATTCAGATATAAAATATCAAAAAAAATATTTTATACATGAAATATGAGTTTTTTCTCCTAGTATTAAATTAAAAGAATGCTTGTTATTAAAACTAATTACCTTCAAAGGAATGGCTCCTTCCTCATCACTGTCTCTCAGCTCCACTACACAAGCAATATTTCTAGCCTGTAAATATAGAACAAATACTAAAAAAAATGATATATGCTCTATATGCCACAGAGTTATATTCCTTCCTTGTGTAGTTACACCAAACTGTAATGTTCTAAAACTTCTTATTATACTTTGAGGCCCTCAAAGCTAAGTGGGGTTTTTGTTTTGTATGTTATTAATAGTTTTATATTATTTGTATGCCACAGAAAGGTAATAAGTTAGCTTAATGAGTTTCCCTTGATGTTTATTCATATTACTTAAGCAATTGTCTTAGTACATAATTTTCTGTTTACAAGAACTCACTAGTTTAGTATAGTATTTTTATCCTTGGACAAAGGTAAATATGGCAAGGTCTGTACATAATTTAGCAAAAGGAAGACTCAGATAAGTTTTATTATTCTGAAATATATATATATATATATATATATATTTATATTAGTTTCAATGCTTTAGACAATTTTTATTGCAATACTTCTTTGAACAGTGGTTTAGAGCATAACATCATTAGGCCTACTATAGTCTATGTATGAAAATTGGTTTTCAGGTTAACAGTTATGTACTACTGTACAGTAAATAGCTAAGTTATGTAATGACTGTTATTATATTATGAGACATAAATTGACCTCAAAAATCAAACTTATATTTTGAAAGGTTTAAAAGTTATCATGCCATGTGTTTGAAGCATCTGTGTTTCAGATATAGTGACCATTATGAGTAACTAATATTTATTATTGCAAGTTCAAAAGTGGTATTATACCTGCCAACAGGTTGTAAAAAGTTAATTGAAAATAGATGTAATACTTTGTAAAAGCGATAATAAAAGATTGTTAATACAAACATTTGTCATTCTCCAGTTGATTCTTGAACCAACTGTGAGTTATTACACTGAAGGGACAGCCCTGTACTGCACATCCAACTATTTTTAAAACCATAGTCCATTAAAAGCTAGTGAAATAAGGCCATACATCAATATTGGTTATCTAATAATAACAGCAGTTTTCTAAAAAAAAATCATTTATATAAAACAAAGCTAACAACATTAAATTAATGTCTATTTTCTACATGATATCTGATTCACACTTAAAAAATATAAACTGTAGTTATGAAACAGAAAACTAAAAATTAGAACTTTTTTCCACTTAATTTGAAGACAAATGGATGTCATATTTTACAGATGTAAAAGATAATCCAAGTAAAACTGTCAGGAGACTACAATAAAATAAATGTGCATATAAAGGTTTACATTAGCATAAAGTAAAATAGTCTGTAACTTATACAAATAGTTTTAAAAGAATTTTCAAATTAAACTAAACAAGTGAAAAATTTTTCGTTTTTCTTGAATCCTACAAGTTGTGCAGAGACCTACATCTCCTCCGTACTAGTCACTATGTTATTTTATACAGATTCTCTATAGCACTGACTTATCCTCTTCATAATACAAAATTACCCAAACGTTTTCAACAAAATACATTTGTTTTAACTTTATACTTACACAAAAGGTTATGGGATGTTGTTATATCAGAAAATAAGTGTTACATTAATTATAAATTGAAATTAAATACTCTGAGCCTACACACTGCCATAATCACATGGCCAGTTCTAACCTTCTAATACATTTAAATATTATGTTATTAAATTACACTATAATTTAAGAAACACATAAAAAATAACAATGCTATCAGTATATCATTCAGTGTATATACAAACCTTTGTGAATATTTTCTGGCTATCAAACTTCAGACTTCGAGGAAATATGTACAAATGATTTTTATATATTGTGAAAGGATGATTATCACTAGGCACATCTGTGGGGAATTGGTCTACCTCAATTGTTGGATTATGCATTGGTGGAATAGGAAATGGGTGCACAGGAATCAGGGATGAAGATAGAGTATCTGTAAAAACAAAATAATACAAGTTTCTTTTATATTCATTTCACTAACTTCTCAATAACTGAAATACTATAATATTAATAATGTTATTTAGATATTTTACAAAAACTAAATCTTTGCTAACATTTTACAAAGTAATAAATATAATGATCATTCTTTTAATGTTTTATCCTTTGGTTTACAAATTTGTTTTGTTCAGAGAATAAAAACATCACTACTCCTCTAGAACAAAAAGTTTAACACAGATTAAATTAAAAATACTGTTCATTCTGGTTATGTTCTTTATCTTCACTACAACTAAGATTCTTTTCAAATTGATAAAATTAAGATACAGCAAACTTACTTAATCATCTTTCACAAACACTACCACATTGCAATGTATCTGAAACAGTTTTTACTATTTATGTATACATAAAAAAAAACACAAGTTAAACAAAATTATATAAAAGAAACTTAATGAGCCTGAATCATAACGAAACTTTATTAACAATTAAATACTCATGTATGTTGTATATGTCAAAACATCTACTTTAAATATATCTGTATTTATGTTTTAAAATGTTAATTTTTCAAAACTAGCAAAAGTAATGTATTTCAAAAACAAATACTTAATAGATAAAATTAAAGGATATGTACTTACTAGGTATTGGTTCTTTTAGTTGCTTAATAGTTATTTTGATTTCTCCTGGTATACTAACTAAGTGTTTCATTTTGTCAGGCCTGAAAGAGGAAATAACACATGTCAAACATATAAAAATAATGTAAGATGCAATCACTGCTTAGTGTGTGTGTGTGATATATAAAAAAACAACATATATTAATAAATTAAATGTAACGATCGGGTTTCCAACATAAGCAGGTCACAAAAAACACACAAATTTTATATCTTATTAATAGAGAGATGAATCAAAACTTACTTTTTATATTCTGCCAACATTTTTATCAAGTCATCATTGGACAGTTTGGAACTTTCTTGTCTGTAAACAGCAGTGATGATTGAGGAGGTGTCCAGTTCCAGTGATACTGGTTTAAACAGCGGTCTGAAAGTGATTAGGAAGTGTTTACAGAAAACCATATGAAAAGCGGAAAGTTAACATATTCCTATACCAAAGATGTATTTCCAATAATACTTACCTCCTCTCTCACTATAGTTTTATTCTGGCAAAAGTTACTTTTCTCTGCCCATCTAAGCATTAGTATGAATCTTATCTTGCTTGAAAAACACCCCTAAATGGATGAGGTACTGTGTGGGAGTAAGGATAGACGTTTCTGTTTCAATGAGAAAACCCGCTCTCACAGCTTCGGATAAAAGAGCTAGAGTTCTGATAAGTGGTGGGAAAGAGCGATAAGAAGCCAGTCACCCATATAATGATAAGTGTGAATGTCCAGTGAGTGAAGATGATGTACAAAGGATCTGACTGCCCAGCAAAAGATGTATAGAGCAGATGCGAGGCCAACTGATTGAGTGAGAAACTAAAAAAAAACTTGTCTTTTATACACAAAACTGAAATAACGACATGAAGACTATGTGATCAGGATATGAAGATAGGCATTGGTGACATCAAATTTTGTGATCCATAGACTTGGCAAAAAGTGCCACCGAAGGGAAAGAAATAACTTAATCGTAAACCAAGGAGGCTGGAGGAAACGATCGAGACAAGAAAGGTCGATGAGAAGTCAACAGTCACCCATCTTCTTTGGTAATACAAACTGATGAGAATTAAAACCCTTGAGAGAGGAGTCAATGCACTCTACAGCCTCTTTGTTAACAACTGGATGTAAGACAATCTTTGGTATGAGAGACAATGGAGGAGAAAACGTGAAATGAAAGATAATCCTCTTTTAAGAACTTCAATGACCCAGTGATCTGTGGCAAAGGTCTCCCATACTGACATGAACCATCTGAGTTGGGCCCCTACAGGTCTGGACCTTAAGGGTTGTCACAGATGCCGTAGTTTGCACTCACCCCAAGCAGAAGTTATTTGCTGATGAGGAAGGAAACTTCTTTGTGTTCCAATAGAAAGTGGAGCTGACACAGGAAGTCTGAAAACCCTAACGGGAGATGCAGAAAACTGTCCAGTAGAAGACCGGGAAAGCCAAGAGGCCAGGGCTGAAAGAAAAGAGTGGAGACGGGCCACATCCACCCGAGATTCCATGGAATCTGGAATACCTGCAAAAATCGAATGTCCGAAAAAAGGAGCTTCTCTGAGATCTCTAAGGCCAAAGAAGGAAGTCGAATTCCATCAAGCAAGGCATCTCTCTCCAAACCAACAAACCAACCAATTCATATTTTTTCACATTTTATACATGTTAACAAAGCTCCTAAGGTTATTCTAAAATCAGATTTTCATATAGCAATAAAATTCAATTGAAACCTAGACTACAGAAATAGGAAACCATATTTTGGATTATTTTCTATTTGAAAAATAAGAAATTGATGTCATCATTGTGATAAAAACAAAAAATATTGTTTAATTTTTTTTACTAAAGTCCTTATTAAATGATATTGAAAGACTAAGACTATAAACAAGTTCAAACACTGTAAGTTGAAATAACTTTAGCCAACTAACTTGAAAAATTTTATGGATATAAATGTATAATTTTAATTTCAACCAATGAAAAAGAAGAAATAAGCTTAAAATATGATTTTAAAATTATGGTAAGCTTAAAATCAATATCTACATTTAACTGAAGAAAGGCAGAGAGAAATCAAAAGACTGTTTATTAGTTCATCAGAAAACATATGAAATAAGCTGAAATAAGTGAGCACATCAATTAAAATTTGTATTTTGCTCTTACTAATTATGATTAGATTTTGTGCTGACCATGTAACAAAAAAAAAGAAATATGTCAGATGGATGTTGCCAGTTGTCACTTAAAATCCAAAGAATTTATTTGTCCAGAGCAAGTAAACAAACTGAGGAACACGAGATAAGAAAAAATTATCTGAGGAATTCACAATCTGTTTAACAAATGAAAACAGTTTTCTACACTTCTTAATCAAACCTAAATCCAGCATTTAAAATATAACATAATTAACCCCTGATGGTTATATATGTATAGTAGAGACAGCTGATATTGGAACAGAAAACTTTTATTTGAAAAGCATAAAACAAATAACAGTGTTTTGACCTCCTTAGGTTATCATCAGGATGAAAATGAGATTTGAAAGAGTGACCGTTATTGATCACGTGTCGTGGAGAGAACAGTAATGATGGGTGTAAGATAGGGGCATTGTAAATATTTAACTTATTATATGGTAGTTAACCTTAAGGAATAACTAGTACAGATATACAACTGTTCCTTGGTGCTGGTTTAATGTGGGTTTAAAAGTTCTTGTATTAGAAGAGCTTCTTTAATTTTTCGTTTTTTATTTTGGTTTCTTTACTTAATATGTTAGCGTTTTCTATGGTTGTTTGAGATACAATGTTCAAAAACATGGGAGAGTGACTTTTTGTGTTCATTGAATCTCGTTTCAATTTTTGGGCTTGTTTCTCTTATATTGAAATCATGACAGTTGTCGCATTGTATTTTATATATAACATTAGTATTATGATTGTCAGAGTAGTTTTTACATAGTACAGATTTTAATTTTGATTTTAATTTTTAATTTTGTTTTTGAATGAATTTAGTGTTTACTGGAATGTTATGTTTGGTTGAGTTTTTTTTTTTTTTCCAAATTTTAGTCATTTTAATCACTGATATCTGGAATGTATTGTATGAAGCAGTGTAGTGTTTTGTTCTTAGTTGTTTCATGTTTCACTGTCTTTTGGATTGTGTTGTTGGTTGTGATTTCTGTGAATAATTCTATTGATGGTTTTTTAGGATATTTATTCACGTTGATAAAGTCCTGTTTTAGTTGATTGACTTCTTCGTTAATGTTGTCAGGTGAGCAAATTCTTGTGGCTGTGTTTATAAGGTTTTCTAGTATGTTGAGTTTTTGTTTTGTTTCACATGCCGAGTTCCACAATGAATGATTTTTCCGTAGATTTTTGTTTTAAACTGTGTATTTGTTCTTGTGATATTGAGGTTTAGAAATGCTAGTTGTTGATCTTTTTCGCATTCATTGGTGAACTTAATACCTTGGTGTATGGAGTTCATGTGTTTGAAAAAGCTACAAGTGTGTTCTATAGATGTGAATCCAGCAACTGTATCATCTACATATCTCTACCAGTATAGTGATGGGTGTAAAGCTGAACTGATGGCTTGATATTCAATCTGTATCATAAAAATGCTGGCTAGAATAGATGACACTGGATTGCCCATACTTAAACCATTTATTTGTATGTAGTTTTGGTAGTTGAACATAAAGTTAGTTTTAGAGGTGGTAAATTCTAAAAGAGTTGCTAGATGGTTGCTGAGGGTGTGTATAAGTGGGTTTGGGGTCTTTGATTTAAAGTTCTAATGCTTTGTTATAGGCTTCTGTGGTGGAAACTTCAGTGAAGAGAGAGACTACGTCTGAGCTAGCCATTGAGGCTTTGTGGTTCAGTTGATCTAGTACAGTTTTAAAGTTGAAGGTGTCTTTGGAAAAGGATCCTGCTGATGTTAGATACATGGAAAATGCCACACTATGTATTTACCTAGGTTATAGTTAAATGATTCATAGGTCAACATTATGGGTCTCGGTGGACAATTGGGTATGTGTAGTTTTGGAGTTCCATGTAGTTGTGGTGTACGGGAGTCGGTATTATGTAAGTAGGATTAAAGTTGCTCAGAAATTGTGTTTGCTTTTTTCAGTTGATTTTCTTTTCATGTGTTTATGGTTATATCAAGCACCATCACTACCTACCTAGCTGCCCAAGCAAAAGGCATTCGATAGTGACCTAGTCTCTGACAACATGCTCGAACTTGTCTGTGCACCTTGAGGCCCAACCGACCATCTCCTACTCCTCCTCCCTGCTTTAAGTAAGGTAATGAGGCACTTGTAATTCCTCCCTGAAGAACTTTTTCAATCCTCACAACAAGGTAAAGATCTGGATCCTCTTTTTGTACTGTAAAGATTGCCTGTAAAAATAAATATGGAAACAAAATAATTATAAATTTCAACTATCTGTGAATCAAGTATTGAGAATAAATAAAAAAAATTATGTTACCCTATAAAAAATGGCATATCTAAATCATAATTTAACTCATCGTACAATAATAATATATTTTCATACAAATCAAATAGCAACATACATCTTTCATATATGTTTACATAAGATCAGTTATTTGCTTCTGATGTGTTCATTTATGCTCATCATAGGGTACTTTTAGAAAGGCCATTGGAAAAATATTTATTTTTATCAAGCTTATTACTTAAATACTCACATAAATTTTCTGCAAATACTAGGCAGTGCTACATCATAGTCATTTTCAAGGAATTAAATAGTAGCTGAATAAGCTAGCAAGTAAGGTTATTATCTTTACTTGCTAACTTATTAAGCTGCTAGTTACTTTCTGGAAAAATACTATCACTTGTGCATTTTAAAACAATATCTACAACAGTGGCTTGTTTACTAAATGTTTCAAGAACTGCATAAAAAAACACTAATCATAGGACTTCTGAAAAGCCTAGATATTAATACTGAGAGTTCAAACTGAATGTGATAAGGTAGTTCAATCCATTTTAAATATCTTACAGTTGTGTAAGTTTTAAATAATATAACTTTACCCTTCTGTAACATTTGTCATTCATATTCGTGGTTTTTGTACTTGTTATGGGGACAGTCCATTCTCATAAATCTCTAAGTAATCTCTAAGTCAGATGCTATAGAGGTTTGCCTTAGTTGCTAGTTGTAGAAATTACATATGACTGTCGTCACTCTCTTAGTGTGAAATAATCTTTTCAATTGTAACAGGTGAGTGATGAGACAAATTATTTCTAGAAATATGCTCTCTGTTGAATCTTTAATGCTGGTCAAGCTTTAACTTATATTTATCACCTTTCAGTACTATAACTTCAGTTTTGTTTAGTTAAATTATTTTATGTTGACAATAATGTTTGTGTTCTGTAAGACATATTTGTGTAGGGAAGCATATTACACTTGGAGACTTGTATATATATATGACACAACGATTTGTAAGCATAATGAAATCACGAAAATAGGTGCTTTATCTTTAAACCGAGACAATAGCCCTAGTAACATTAACAAAATATGGCAAAATTTATTCACTTAGCTCCCCCCTTCCTCTGACTTTCCTTTAGAAGACAAACCAATGCTCTGTCAAAACATGTAGTATGTATTAAAACTTTTCATTATGCTTATAAATTGTTGTGTCTTATGTATACAAGTTCTGAAAGGCATGTTTATATTTTCTGAACACTACTGGGTTGCATCTTATTCTCAAGGTCTCAGGTCCTTGCTTTGGTGTTTCCATCAATTTAATCTTTGAAACCAACTATTAAGAGGAATATCTCCCCTTATGTAGCATATTCTAAAACCAGAATACCACAAAGACATAAAGAGCTTAACAGTCAGATGATGTTTTTGAAGTTAGTAAAGTGTAATGTTACTCTGAAAACTCTGATAACCTAAGAGCATGTATAAAAATCAATTATGAATGAGGTGTATCAAAAGATAAAGGAAAAGGTGTGTCAAACAAAAACAAACATCAACCAATTTTCTTGCTCACAACTACAGAACATTACTAACTTTTAACCAAAGCAACTTACTTACACAGATCAGAGCTAAACATTAACCTCATAATGTATATAGGTAATTTTAATATAACATTTTTACTTACAATGATTAGAATGTATTGATTCATCAACTGAATACCTTTGTTGGTGGTGGTATTTTCAGTTGATCAGATTAGAAGGTTTAGATTAGTTCTAACTCCATGTACTAAGCTAACAATACAAAATAGCCCTCATAGTAAAGAACATATATTAACCATATCAACTCCAACTATGCTCTCAGAGAGAGAGAAGGTAGTATCGCTCTCATCATATTTCATTACAAAAATAAAACTAGTGGGTGAAATTGTTTGAAACTTGACAAGAGTAGTCCTAAAAGTATGTAGTTTCAGAAAAATAAAATATTTAATTCTGATTTTTTCTACTATTTCTAATACAAAATTTGTTATTTAATGTAGTTATTTGCACTTGGACTCTGAATAGTTCACCTGAGAGGTGCTATTCATGTTGAATATAAAAATACTATTATTATCCTACAGTTTTCACATTTCATTTGCATAATCTCTAGAACCTCCTAAATGAATATCAAAAGTTTAAGATAAATGTTTACATTTTATTCAAAATTTTCTCTACGTTCATTAAATTATCATCAACAGACAGTGCAATGAAAGATTTAAAATTAACAAATGAAAATATGTATATACCTTTCAATTCTTCACAGGAATAGTCTTCTTTGTCTTATATGATTAATTTTACATCTTTATCTTTTCACTTGTAGCTTATTTCAATTTTTAATTTTCCTTTCAAATTCTTTGTCTTTTATTATTAATGCCAATACGTCAACTGATGCTTGCGGGGCTGTGTGAAGTTACTGTTGGCAGACTCAAGGCAGAGATGCATTTGCCTAAACAAGATGGCACTTGTACATGTCCTGTGTTTATAAGCTTTTGCAATCCAGGCAACAAGAAGTTAAACTTATAAAAATCATTAAACCTTTCAAATATGATTTTTAAAACAAAAATAATACATAATTAAGTAAAATATGAAAGTAAGACCTAAATACAATTTAACTGTCTCTCTAACTATAGCTTATTTAGGTAAGAAATCACCGTAAGTGCTATAGTCGATCAAGCAAAGAATACTAAAGGCAGTTACATGTACCCCGTGACGAAAACTGCATGGCAATTTCAAATTAACTGTTTGTGAAGTATAGTGTGAACTGAGCTCTTATTAACGACTATATACACTTGTGTCAAGTAAGTACATGTGGCTCATAAATCTCACATCAAAATATAGAAGGTGGGTATGGCACCTATCAATGGTTGGCAAAATTTATTTCTGTTTCCCAATGAATGCAGCTATAATACTTTGTATTTTACATGTCAAAAGAGCAAATAGATCTACATTATCATTTAGACACTCGTGTACATGTCTAGCTTGTGTTGCGAATTTCACTTCTATAACAATACATGCAGTAACTCCAAGATTTCTTAAATATCCTCTCAGAAACTGGTAAGATTTCCCTAAGGATCATAAGTATCTTATACACAAATAATGACAGTTTTATAATTAAGTGTTTTCACTAAAATATGTTATTTTTCTACTGTAGTTACTCACTATCAAACTATTAACAAATCAAGTGCAAGGTGATTTTTCATTTTAAGCATAAAAATACTTTTCTCTGTCTTATAGTTTTTATACTTCATTTGAATAATCTCTAGAACCTCCTAAAAGGATATCAAAAGTTTTTTAAGGTAAATTTTTATATTCTATTTTTCATTTTCTCTACCTATCACTAATTGTAGACATTATTATCAACATACAGTGCAACAAAATAATTAAAATTAGAAAATAGAAAAAAAATACTAACTTTTTAATATTTTGTGGAATATCTTTAAAGAGTTTCCTTCTGTTAAATTTGTAATTTCATCTCTTTTTCCTTTTCACATATAGTTAATTTTTAATGTTTATTTTCCTTTGTTGTCCTTTACAACTTATTATTCCTCTCGACACAAGTCAACGATGCTCTCAAGACATATTACAGTGTTTTTGCAACAGAAGCACAACCCTGCGGTAAAATTTTCGTTCAGTTCATAATATCGTAAGCCTTGACAATGGATTCGAAGCATGATGTATATTTTTAAAATGTTTAAACCTTTTAATTATACATTTTAAAACATAACTAATACAATATTAAGTAAAATATAATAGTAAGACTTAAATACAATTTAAACTATATCTATAACTATAATGTATTTAGGTTAGAAATAACCATTACTGATATAGTTGATCAAGCAGCCAACAAGACTATAGACAATTTCATGTACTCTGTGACAAAGACTTGGTGCCAATTTCAAAATAATCATTGTTAGTTTATTCTATAAAATTAGCTTTTTCTAATACATATATATATACACATCTCTAACATCTACATGGAAGCGATAAAGCTCAAACAAATCTGTTGAAGGTGGGTGTGGCAGTTGTCAGAGGTTTAAAAAATGTATTACTTGTTTTTACTGTATTAAATCAGAGTACTTTGAAAGGAACAAGTCAAAAGGTTATGTAAGCATCTTGATGACTAGACGTACCTCCACTCTATTAACATTGTATTATTGAAAATACAGAGAACCAAAGTAGAGATTTTTCATAACTCATTGGTCACGTGACAAAACATCCAAAGTTTTAAGTAGTTTTTAAAGGTATATTTTGTATTAAAGGACTTAAAACTTGAATAAAATAAAACTTCGAATCATGACACGCATTATGATATTAAATTCATTCACATAAATTGATATTAAAGATGTTTAATTAAATTTCGAATGTAACACAGTAACTTGTACAGAAAAGCATTTACAGGGCTCCGTTGTGAAAGGGTTAATGAAACTAACATTAAAGAGAGAATATAACATACTTAGAAAACCCATAAAACTAGTTGTTTGCATTTATATGCACTGTCACTGATTCCCCTAATCCCTTGAAAAGTGTAAGACCAATATATGCAAAACTTTGTTTAATCCTAAAGTTTAAAACCTTTTTACTGACACATACAAAATAAAAATAAGTTTAAAACACAAAAGGTCAAAAGCTCATTAAAATTAAATGGTTAAAAACCTGCCAAAAGTTTCAACATAGTCTAGTGTCTTCCACAGTGGCTACTTTGTGTCATGATTCATTGTAGGTGATTAAATATGAGTACAGTTGTAACATGTAGCATTCTGATGGTAAATTTATACTAGTACCTATGTTCATGTGATATTTTCTCCTAAATATGCCATACTCATGAAAAATTTTTCCAATCTGAAATGTGATTTTGTGTAAGGATGTGCTGTGCTAAGCCTGACATGTTAATCTGGCATATAATTTTTGTGTTATTTAATATGTGCATTTGATGTTCGGCTTGTCTCACCATAATATATTTCATAAAATATTTCACAGGGAATTTTAAACATGCTACTGATTCTATTTTCAGATTGGATGGATTCTTAGATGGACTAAGATATGACTTAAAGTTGTGTGAGATCAATAAACAGTTCTAACATTATTTATATTAACCTGGTCAGATAATGCTTTATCAGAAGGGATGTTGTAATAGGTTTTAAAATCCAATCTTTTTTGTCTATTATTTTGTTTTGTTCAATAAAATGGTTAGGGACACATTATCTTTTAACACTTTTATGATTTGCCGAGTTTTTTTTAACCTGACCTTGCTATTAGCATTTTGCAGGAAATAGGGTGGTGGGAATTAGATTCAAGGTATGTTTCTTTATTCTAATGTTTCTAATATACAGCAGTAATTAAAGTTCCATTTTCTTGTCTATGAACCAAAATATCTAAGAATGGTAGTTTTCCTTCAGAATCTTTTCTTGCTATGAATTGAACGTGATTATTAATACTATTGAGTGGCCAAAAATTTTTGTTTACAGTTTTCTTCTTTCTAGAATGGTTAAAGTGTCATCTACATATCTTTTATAGATTTTAATTTTGTTGGGGAAGGTCTTCAGCGCTTTGGTTTCCTGAAGTTTCCGTACCTAAGTCTGTTACAACCATTTAAACTGGAAAGTCCACAGCTGAATTAGAACTGGATGGCATGTAGACATAGTTTTAACAGTGTACACATTTCATCTAGTGAAAGTGACATCTATTGAGTTAGGGTCTTGTCATTGTGTAATCTGGCTTCTGCAACTTCTGAGGCCAATTTGTTGGGTATGGTTGTGAAAAGACTCATAACATCAAACAATACAATTTCTTCATTTTCATGAAAGAATATAGTTTGAAGATAATTTGTAAATTTAAAACTAATTCTTATTTGGTACTAACTATTACCAACTAATGGGTGTAAATAGGTGTTTAGGAAGGTTATATGTGGGTTTGACAAAATTGATGATTGGTTGAAATGTCATGTTCTCTTTACGGATGATTGGAAGGCCATACAAGCAGAGAATACAAACATCCATTTGAAAATATTTTCTTTCCTTTTAAGTATAACAATGCACTGTTAATTTTTCTTTCTAAGGCCAAAGATGGATTCTTAGCAAATTTTATATAAACACTGGAATCATTTAATTTAAAATTATAATCTTTTTGATCTAGAATCAACAGAGTGTATTTGAATATCTTTAATGTTTATCAGTTTAACAGCGGGATGTTCTTGATTAGTTAAATTTGGTGTGGGAGAATAATATGATGCATTGTCACTTGTAACATATTTTGAAAATAAAGCCCAGTTCTGTGGGAACACAGTTTAATGAAGAATTTTAGGGACAGTCTATGATACAGAGGAGAATAGACGGAGAAGATGACATAACCAAGAGTTGATTGATATCAGCAGATTAACTCCTATTATACATTATACATAGAAGCGAGAAGAATGGGATGAGCTGGATATGTTGCCAGAATGTAAGACAACAGACTGACAAAGATTGCTATATTTGAAAGACCACAAGACAGGAGACCATTGTGAAGACCAAGAAAAAAGATGGCAAAATAATGTAGCAGAGGATGTCTTTGATGTTGCTATAAAAGATGAATAATGATCAAAGGTTGCACAAAACAGGAAAAAATGAAGAGACTTCATAAGAGCAGCCAGGACTAACAAGCCCCAGTGTTATAGAAAGAGAAGGGGTAGTAGAGTGGGGGGAGGGGGGGGATGATAAAAATGGAGGATATTGGTGATAGCTTTTGTGTTAATTTTAGAGCAAAGTCACATTGGGTTATCTGTTGTATCCACCATGTGGAATCAAACCCTGGATTTCAGCATTGTAAGTCCATAGACTTACTGTTATTCCACCAGAGGACTTGGTGATAGCAGTACACACAGATTTTAATTCTGAGATGAATGACTTATTCTATTTTACAGTATCTTCTATTGGTCCTAAGATTTATGTGGGATGGAAAGCTTTTGGAGTAATTGCAACTCCTTACTAACAATGTCTAGTGACTAATGAAATCCAAATTATATGGCTCTAATAATGTAGCTTAACATTCAGGATAAATACTATAACACATATTACTATTTAGCTATAAAGCCAAGTAGAAGATTGTACAAAAAGCTCAGTACAGCAAAAAACTTGTGTCCATGAAGGTAAAAAGATAGTAAGTAAATTAAATGAATAACAAAATCATAAATAGTAAAAATATTAAGACTCTAACTGAACTATTTAACTTAAAAGTAATAAAAATAATAATGTTGTAAGCTATATTTTCAATGGTTTAACTTAGATGTTAGCTAGCAGGTGCATGATGATTAGATCAAGTTTATAAAAGTAGTCCCAGAATACCTAGAAAGTTTGTGAATATTAGAAATATCATAAATAGAATAAGCAGTTAGTAGAAAGCCAATCAGTATTGGTAGTCATTCAGTGAAGTATTTGGATAAGTAGTAGTTACTGCATTATATTCAGTTGTATGATCAATTAGTTGTGAAATTGTAAGCATAAGTATATTTATATCTTAGTTCTAGTATTATTAATAAGTGGTAAATCTATGTTCAAAGTGAAAACATTATCTGTGAACTCAGGCCAATAAGTACAACTGTGTACAAATTATAATAGCTTGTTGGTTAAGGAAGAAATAAACTAATTTATTATTGCCACATGGGCTGGACTTGGCTTTATTTTCACAAAATAATTTAAAAGAACCACCCCAATGAAAGAATGTTACAACAACAGTTTACTAAACACACTATGGGCTGTGTCTAACACAGATAATCAGAATTTAACAATCCTCTAATCATTAACTTGATGAGAAACTGAAGTTAAATTAAAATTCTCAAACAGTAAACCCTTTTGTTATAAAACTTTTTTGTACTTCAATTTTTAGAGTTATATTTCAAATATTTCAGGTTCAGAGCCAGAATCATTGTCAGTTTACAGAAATTCAATTGTCTTTTCGAGTGTAAAAACACTGGAGTAATTTGATATCATTCTGGGTCTGTTTTCTCATAAAAATTAAACAATTTTCAACTGCAAATATTATTCGTTATGAATAGTAATATATACCATGTTGGAAACAAACTGGTGGCTGAGGTTATCATCTGTGCAGATTAGGCTTTGTCTATTAATTTTGTGAGTTCATTTTGCATTTCTAGTGTGAAATGCAAACCAAATTATGTGGTCACCATATGGTGACAAGAGCACCTAAAGGGTTAAACAAAGTAACAACAACAGTTAACATGACAATTAAAGAAATAAACAGAAACTAATGATGTAATTCATACTACATAAGAATCTGTTATAAAGTTTGAATTAACTATAATGAGAGTTTAAACTAATCATTATCACTATTTTAAAGTAACCCAAAAACAGTAGTAAAGAAGTTAATGTGTATTTGTGAGAGTTTTGAAAAGATCGTGATATTCTGTAAAGATATTACCCCCATAATCAGTAACAAGATGATTGTTGAATATAATTCAATAATCAATAAACCTGGTGTTCAAAATAAAGAGGGATGATCATCATTGATGAAAAATGAGAGTTAATGAGCTCTATCCATGAAATATTGTAATACTGACAAAATGCTATTCTATCTAATAAGCTATGAATAGTATTAAAGCATAAGCACAATTTATTTGTATTTGAAAATTGAAAGTTTATAGATTAAAAATTTTGAGTCTATTTTATTGAAAATTTTGCCTTTCAATGTTTGACTAATGATGCTTATATCTAAAACTACTTAATGTTTTGTATTCAGTGAAAGTTAACTTTTTTCAGAGTGAGTTATGGTTAATATATGTGTCTTTGGCTGTGCCCAAACAATCTTGAAAATTCAGTAAAAGAGTATCATCAATGTATCTACAAATGGGACTAACATTCAAAGCTTTTACAGCTTTTCTAACGGGTTTTCTTATGAATTAAATTCAAATCTGAATAAATATTCAACAGGTAGGCTGAGGCTACCAACATTAAATATTCCCTGTGTTTGATGAAAGACATGTTGACAAAATTATACACGTGTTGTCAAGTACAGAATAAAAAATATATAGCCTGTAAGAATTTGTTTATTGTAAAACAATGATATTTCTAATGAACAAATTATCATATTAAAAACATCCATGTTTGTCAACATAAATCATTATTTTACCAAAATTCTTAAAATATCTTGAAATTTTTGATGAAAGAGTCTTTTTAAGTTCTAGTGTAAATATATACTATAATGAAAAAGTTTGTTTTTTGCTTCAAAAATTTAATATTTTTTTAGATTCAATGAAATTATGAATGATAATAAATAGGTTGATGCCTGTTCTTTCTTTGATAATAACAAGCAATTGTGTATAAAGTGATACCTGTTTGGGAAAAGTCAACCATTCCTCTCCTAAGTCTGCAAGAACAGGTAAGGTCATTTTTGTTCCAACTCCTTCTCCATTTGCAGTTACACTGTGATTAGATGGTCCATTACGTCTTTTTCCAGATTTAGGAAGCATGTTTCGAATATATGGATGATTGACATCAAATCTAAACTCTTCTGACACTTTTCTTCCCTTTTTTGCATCATATACAGCAAGAGTTGTAATGTATGGCTCCACCTGGGGGTAAGTGTATAAAGTTATTAAAAATTACTTTAAGTAAAAGAAATACTAGTAATGTAGCTATTCCTGTTCTTCAACTCATTCACCCAACTATTTTTGAGAAATTCTTAGCCATTAATATTAATAACATTTCAGCACCATTAACAGAAAACTAAAATAACAAAACAACATTAAATCTATCAAAATTATTATATTTCTTATTCAAACATGGAAAAGAAGATGGACTAATGAAAGTTTTACTTTCTTCTGTAACGACATATGAGATAATTTATTATTTACTAAAGTCCAAAAAATATCTTTCCATCATAAGACCCTGGCCATAGAAATTTAAGGTATAATTCATGTGATGTTTGCTACATAAACTCTCAACCATTTAAAATAAATAAGTATTATATTTATTAGCCTGGAATATATATTACAACTGTTACAAAATGTCTGTCACACATGGAAAACATACTATGTCTAAGTCTATGCTAATACACAAATTTATAATCATATTAACTTTTTTTGTGTTATTGAAGCAACTATTAATACTATTTTTGTATGATGCAATTTTCTCAAGTTCAGAAAGTTTTTTGCTAAAGTTCCAGATATTCAATGTATCCAAACTTTCACAAAGAAAAATTAAAATGCTGATTAGCAAAATTTTGATTTAACAGCTTTTCTAACTTCATATTTTAGACCATGTTGCAGAAAACGATTTCATCTTTCATGTACCAGGTTGCGATTATTGTATAATTATCAATAAATGAAGATATAATTATAATCATAAAGAGAATAATATAAAAAAATAAATAAATTAACATTATTTTTCTATAAATCAGTTAAAGTGAATACAGTTATAATCACACAAGTTTTTGTCTACAAATTGACACAAAAAACATCATACAGCTTTTATTACACACTGGTATAATTTTTTCATAATGTTATCTTCCTTACCTGACACAATGGCCCTCTCTCACCATCCAGAGGAGTTAACAATCTGAACCTGACCTCTTCACATTTTACAAATATTCTTATTCCAAACTCTTCTTTGTAAGGTTGAACATCTTGTTCATACTCAATCAGATAGGAAGACATGGATATTCTCTACGTACACAAACAATATTGAAAATGTAGCTCCATATTACACTTTTGCAACAAAGCAACATTTAAAAGTCCAAGTATCTAACTGCTTACTAAAGAACAACAGAATATTCAACTACTTATTAAATAAAAGACTCGTAATAATTAAATTGCCAGTACAAAGCTAGATGTTCTTAACAAGTACATAATTTTATCTGCCTAGCATTTTCATTCATTTTAAACAAATACCCCTTTTGTCCAGTTGGTAAAGCACTCAGTTGACATGTCACAGGTCTTGGATTCAAATCCAAGTCAAGGAATACATATTGTAAAAATTAAATTATTTAATGTGTTTAAGGATCTGATTAATTTTCTTATTTATACTACTTTAGTGCTAATAATAAAAACATATTAAAGTTAATTTGATAATAATGGTAAACGTTATTAGTAGGATTAAACTTCATAGTTAGGACTTGTTAGTATAAGTATTACTAACTAATGTTAGATTAGGCTTAGAATGTGTACAATGATTTTAGGCTTTAGCTGCAATTCAACTTTTCAGTTTGTGCAGATAAGGAACTGTGGGAGGGAAGGAAAACAAAAGGGACAGGTAGGAATGGAAATGAAAAATTTGATTAGGTTATAGTTACTAGCAGAAATGCCACCCTATGGGCAGCTGTTTGTGCTAATAACTACTAATTGTATTATTCATAACTCATCAAAAAAAATTTAGAAAAAGTGAACATTTTCTAAAAAAGGATTTTTGTATGGGAATACTGTATGGGAAAAGTGTTCAGACTGTGCTCTTTGGTCATATACAACTCATTGTATCAAAATGGCTCAATGTGCAGAGCTCAAAATTTTCATACATTTTATTAACTGTAATATTTTATATATTAAAAGTGCTACCCATTATTGAAAAAATATTTTTTAAGAACTCCAGTTTCTCAGTACTACATTTAAAAATTACATCAATAATGATATAATCAAGCCCTCACGTACCATCCTAATGCAAGTAGTGTTTTTGTTATGAAGAGTACTTTTATTTAAAATTGTGATCTATTATAAAGAAATGGTTGTTGCACATACCAGTTATTTTTATTATTCTTGAACACTCAAAGTGTGAAATTTTTTTATGTATTTTGTTTGTGGTACCGTTCAATAGATGGCACAGGAGTTTTGATTACATACATAGATACTGACATACACACTACATCCATTATAGATATACATCCATTGGTGATTTTTTGGTATGGCATACAGACAGGATAATCTGTCTGTGGAGTAAATAGGGAGAAAAAAATTAGATCATGCTATCCAGTGGCAAGAATGGAAGACATAATTGATAGGTCAAGTGATATAGTAAAGAGTGCTAAAGTTATGCAGTTTTAGTTATGCACACAGGGGATAAGGATGTAGAAAAGTACATGTCAGAAGAGCTAACTGATAAGTACACAGGATTGATAAAGCCATTTAAAGAAAGGAGAGATAATTTACTTCTGTCAGGAATACTGCTGAGAGTTGCCTGTGGAGATCAGACTATAAATATGTTACTAGGGTTGAATGCTATGCTTAGGTTAATATGTAAAGACAAGCATAATGGATGGTTGAACTTGCCAGATCAGTTAGATGAGAAAAGGAAGCTTTTCAGAATGGGTGGTTTACATTTGAATAGGGTAAGAGTTGGCTAGTTTGCAAAAACTATTAATTGAACTGTATGGGCAGCTGTAAACTAGGACTAGACAGTGGTGAGGGCCAGCATAAACTGAATGCAAAAAAAAAGAAATAGTTTGTAGAGAAAATTGTAGAGTAGAAACAAAATACAGAAGTATTTTAAGGGTAGACTAAATTATTTCTATTTTCATGGTAGAAGTACAAGAAATACAATATATGACTTTAAACCAAATATCAGATTGGAGGATTTTGATATAACATCAATAACTGAAACTTGGTTAAATGACATTAATTCTGATGACAAAAATTTCTTTGAAATACAAGGTTATGAGTTATTTAATAGGGATATAGTATTAGAAAGTGAATAGGAGTGGCTTTATATGTAAAATATGAGTTACATGTTATTGAAGATATCAAAGATAAAAACAGAGAGACTGAATCTATTTAGGTTTCCATTAGAAGACATAGAGGAAGAATTTAGTCACCTGAATTTCTTTTCTGGAAAATCAGCAAAAGTTAATAAATAGAATGAAAGGGGGGGCCCAATGATATTACTGACCCTGGAGCCTGGGCTGGCTCTCGACGTCCCTGGGTGCAAGTGATCATTGCTTAGTTAGGTTTGATGTTTTACTGCATATGGAGATCAGGATAAATAAGATTTTGCTCACATGACATAAAAATAAAACATTTTAAAGGGATGCAACAATAATAATCTGTTGTGAATTGGTCAACTAAATTGAGTTACTGATAAAATTTGGAAAATTTTTAAATATTCAAGACAGACATTCCTTACAGAAAAAAGGGTGGCTGAAGGTGAAAGGCCAGATGGACTTATAAAGATAATAAGGGATAAGAATAATGAAAAGCATTATAAATATATGAAGTTTAAATTGACTGCAATGAAGGGAGATTTGAAGGATTATAGATGATAAATAGAGTTAGTCAAATGAAAAATTAGAAAATCAAACAACAAAACAAACAAAATGTTGGCTGAAAATGTAAAACTTAACAGTGAGAACAAGAGTAGGGCTTTGGAGGGATGATAAAGAAAGGCTCATTTCTGATGATTAAGAGATAGTTGGGTTACAAAATTTTACTCTTTCTTCAATTTTTACTGATGAAAATTTAAGCAATATTCCTCATTCTTTGAAGAGGTTACTGCTTATGTAGCTGAAGGTTAGAGTGTGGATTTAGTGTATCCGGATTTTTAGAAAGCATTTGAGAATATGACACATGAAAGGCTTGTTAAAAAGATTATCTAGACAATTGTTTGGGGATAGTTTGTTCATGAGACAGAAAAGATGCTGGATGGAAGAAAACAGAAAGTTATCAATGGAGTTCAGTCAAACTGGATTAATAACAGAAGTGAGATACCTCAGGGTTCAGTGTTAGAATTTTTGCTGTTTTTAATTTACATCAATAAGGTAGATGAAGGAATGGTTAACATATTACTTAAACTTGCTGATGATATTAAGGTCTTGGGTGTTGCTGACTGTGAGGAAGATGCTGCTGCTTTACAAAAGGATTGAGATTATTTGGTGAGTGAAGCAAATAAGTAGAAAATGGCTTTTAATTACATAAATGCAAGCTAATGCATGTAAGTTATCATAATCTGAATTATAAGTATAATTTTGATGGGAATACCCTTAAAAGTGTTATGGAAGAAAATAATTTTGGTCTTCTGGTCGAACGCTTTCTTAAGCCATCCAAACAGTGTGCTGTTGCTAATAGTAGGAAAAGAGTACTTTAGGTTTTACATGTAAATATCTAAACCAGTTTTTAAAACTCTAAATTTTATTTTTAAAGTCATATGAAGTAAACAATGTAAAATTCAACAAACAAACAAATCAGTGAAAGTTAAAGTAACATAACTTAGAATATACGAAAATTAATTATAGCACCAATAACTGAACAAAATTAGTACAGATCATCATACAGCACAAGTCTGCCAGGTTTCAGGCCTACTCACCCAAGGGTGTTAAGATTAAAAATAAAACTTATAAAACATGAAACAGCAAAACCAAACCATTCTTGTACGTATATTTTTATATCCTTAAATATTTCTTTACTAACTATATTGTTTTATTTCAAATAAACTATTTACCTTTATCTTGTACTAGATGCTTAGTCAAAGAAACCAATATACTATAAAAACTTCAAATTTAATATTTAATTTTTCATAAAAATTAATTTTGATTTTTTTTCTTAAAAAATAATTAAACATGAATATATCTAATTTTGATCTAGTAATATTAAATAATGATCATGACACTATTTAATTAAGCTTTATGAAATGTAAGTCATATTGCAAATGAAGTTTAAATAATGATTCACAGAAAATATTTTCTTTCTATTTCATAACAAGAAAGTTTGCAAACAATAAGTGTATTTCATAAGTGCCAAGCTTTGAAGAATCAACAATTTATTCATGTTTCTTTATAATAAGTTTTTACAGTAATTTAATTTGTAGTAATTATCCTTTATAGCAACAATCCTGCAGGAAGTTACAGGCTGATCAGTTGTAACACAAATTGTGAATTTTTAGCAAATTAAAAAGTTGTACTAAGTTTAAAGTATTTATTTATTAATGTTAAACAATTAAAGTATTGATAGATGTTCAAAAAAGTCAGAAAATCTACTTAAATACACTAAAAAAAGGGAATGCAACCAGCTACATCCACAGTAAACTTCTTGTTTTCACATACTAAAGAATTAGAAAGTTGAAAGCAAGTCATTAAAAATTACCAGCCTAGAATTATACTTAACTTCTTATTAATGCTGTTATTAAGTTGAAACACAAATGTGCATCACACAATGAAATAGTTTTAAAAAAAATTAATTTGGAAAAACTTACTTGTAAATCAGGATATATGGAAAACAAATTTTGGCGATTTTCCTTCCTTGCTTGAGAAATAGTAAAATCTGTTTCCCTTGCATACTAAAGAAGTATTCAAATGTAAAAATAAATCTTAATAAATTTATAGTTTACAAAACATGGAAAAACTAATTAAACCCAAAATATTTTAACATGTACAAGTAACCTTTTTCAAAACAAAAATATCCAAATATTACATTCAAACCAATAAACATTAAAAATAATCCTGCTTTAGTCTTTTGGAGTCTTCATGAAACCCAAGTATTTTGTAAACATCGTGCTGACAGATGGAAGCACATACATGTTTGTTGTTCTCAGTAGCTTCAGTATTCACTAGTTTGTGTTAAAATGTTATACATAGTTTACGTGGTAAAAAAGAAACAAGTTGTAATATTCAATGTTCATTTCTTGATTAATAAAGGAAATGATTTTGAGTGTTAGTGCTTTTGTTTCCAAATTACTAGTTTATTATTATTTAAATATTTTTAAATTAGTGTTTTTATGATAGGGTCCACTGGGACCCAGAATAAGTGAATATGGAAAATTTTTACAGAAGATTAATGCAGGGTTAATATTTTGCAAGAATGTATTTTTATGTTTTGATAAATAATATGAATTCAATACTTAAAAATCACTTCTGGATAGCTGAAACACTTAAAAAAATTACAAAAACATATTACACTAATTATAGTGAAAACATTACAGATTTTATTGGCAACAGTAACAAAGACACAATGAATCTGAAGTCACTACCACAGTGTATATATATATATATATACATACATACATACACACTCACATATATCTACTTTACTAATACCATATTCTAATTAAATGCAATATTTATACATTTTTACAAGCCATTAATACAATTTTGCACCTCATTAAAATTTTACCTGTACATGCCTGTTCAGATTAAATACACCTTAACAAGAATGTTTGATCATTCCACATTAATTTGTAACATTTTATCATCAGAATATTTCAAAATACAAAAAAATCTATTGCTTGTTAACCTACTTCTTGTTTTTAAATAATTAGATAATCCTACTGTAGAATAAATTACACATATAATTTTAATACATTAAAATATTACCAAACTTCTAAAACTAAAAATTTCTAAAATTAGTTAAAAAATTATTTGAGCATAGATTTTATGATAAGCTTCATATATATTGCAAAGATTATTTGATTGTTTTATCATTCTTTCTAAAGTTGTTGATTCTCTACTTCAAATTCTGCATACAAGAAAATGTTCATGTTAAGAAAAAAGGCTGCTGACATTCATTTCTAAGTTTACTAGTAGTATATATGATCTCTCTTATGCTGTTTCAGAGTTAGTTAATAAAATGTTCAAGAAAATTGATAGGAAATTTTGACAAAAGTGAGATCAGTTTTACAGTTACATGTACTATCAAATATTTTTAGGTGTAGGTAATATTACCTAACAACATAATTTCAAAATATAATGATACGTGCATAAATGTAGTTGTATCTCTTGAATTAACATACATTTTACATCAAGTCTAATTAAAAAAAGAAGTATTTAGTTTATGTTATGATTTTACCATATTAAGACTAATTTATCACATTCTTCTCAACACTTTAATCAGTTTTTATACTTTCTATTTTTTGTTGTTACTAGATGTAGGAAACTGGTGCAAAGAATTAAAATGTGTATTAATATTTATGAAAAACTTTTTTTTATACAGCTTCCACAGACTTTTCAAAGGACCACTAAGTTTTTGATGTGAACATGCCTGAAGTATATTGCTCATATGAAGATATAAAAGCTTAGATGCTTTGATCAAAGCATCCCCAAATATTTGCTTACAAATTTAAGGCCTACAGAGTGTACTATCTCTTCTGTATTGTTTCTGAGCTTTAAACAGTGTTTGTACAGTAATTTACACAATTAGTTAACAAATAACCTATCCCTCAGGTGATTTTAGGAACCATTAAATCTTCCTAAAAATTATCAGCCATGATGAAAGAATTAGCACAAAGGATCATGACAAAAATCAAGCAGAGTTTAAAAGTTCCAGAAATTCAAGCACTTTTGAATAGTTGAGTATTCTTCTTCAGCAGTAAAAGTCTCTAACAACAACATTATCTATAATGATTCAGTTTACCAAGAACAGTGATTTCAAATCAGAATTTAATATAGAAAGAAGAAAGTTTTTACCCTCTATCTTATATTTTTGAACAAATAGTCCTATTAAAAAACAAGTATTTGTATTAAAAACTCATAATGCAGCACAAAAAAGTAAATCATAAAATGGGTTATCCCACCAGGAAATTTTCAATTCAATATGTGTTGTAACTTAAAAAAAAGCACTGTTCATATGCTTCCTTGCTTAATACTTTAAAGAAAAATTAAGAGAAACTACTACAATTCTGTACATTTTTTCTAAAAAGTTTGAGGACAAATTATTTTTCTCAAGAACAACATACATAGAAAACCTAAGCAATTATGGTTTAAGAGTGGTATAACTTTATGATAAAAAATTATCATCTTAGTGTACTGGGTACATTAGCATCCACAGAATTCAAGGTAAATTCCATGAACCTATGTTTGTATTTAAACACAAAGCTAAAATATATAAAATTATATACAAAAACAGAAAAACAAATTTGCATATTGCAGTGGTGCATCTGTGAATTCAAGTAATGCATTGTTAATTTAGTTATCTTTAAAAGTTGTTTCAACTTACCTTGACTAGTTCTGGATTTTTGCTATGTTCTAAACTTTTTAGAGTTCCATAAATATTTGGAGACATAGGTGGAGTAACAGCTAGACTTTCAGCTAAAGTCAAATAAAATGTTATAGATGGAGTAGTAGTCACACTTTCAGCCAAAATAAAAATAGGTGAATGGTAACTCAACACACGTGTAAAACTGAATTAAGTTGATAATTTACATACATAAATATCAAGAATTTCAAAGTTCTAACATCTACAAAACAAATTCTATTACTTTGATTGTTTTAGAAGAAATAAACACTATGATAGATGACTTAGAAACAAAACAGCTACCTCAAAATGTCCTACTTGTATCATCATGATGTAAACTGTTTGTACTATTTTTAGAGAAAACAGAATTGTGTTCTGATATCATTACTTTTCCAAATTTCTGGGATTAAAAGGTTTTTAAGTCCTTATTTTAAAACAAGGTAATTTCATATGAACCCTAACAACTATAAAACCATATGTTTATCAACTATATCTGACGAAATATTTAATTTCTCATGAAATAAGAGCTACTTTCTGAGTTTCTTATATATCTTTACTAGAGAAAATGTACAATTTCTGATAAAACATGTAGTGCTAATATTAGTTACTTTTTGTCATAAATATCTTCTATCATCAAAAATAATATTTTTCAGTTAGTCATAGCATACGATTTCTATCTGATTATTTAAATACTTTGCAGCTACTTACAACTGCTATCAGATGAAACTGTTGATTTTCGTCTCCCATCTTCAGATGCTTTACTGTTGTTGCTAGCAATTACAGTACTTAACACATTCATCCAGTCCAAAAGTTCTGCTTCATTCTCTGTGGCTAGGATGTAAGATTTATGGCCATCTGCCATTCGTAACTCTAAGCTCAACTTCCCTCGTTTAGAGTTCTTAAAATATAAATATCTATTATAAGATTAAGAAGTTAGTTATGTGTGTTTCATAACTATGAAATTTCCATTTATTGTATAAAAGTTAAATGTATTTGAATTTCAATTCCATTTTCATTTATTCTTCATTGATTTTGTAAGTTTATTATTCTTATTTTACATCAAAACCTCAATAATGGATATTTAACTTTTAAGTTGGCATTACACATCACTTGTATTCTGTATATCAGATTTTACTTTTCATTAACACATTTAGAAATTTTAGCTGTACCTAAGTTAGGACAAAGAACTAAATACAACTGCCAAGTCCATTATATATGAATTGTTAAAACAGAAAAACACAACAGAAATAAAGTACATTTCAAAAGACCCAAAAAAGGTAAAAATAATTACACACATACACACATATATATATAATAATAACTCAAGACTAAGATAGAAATATAAAAGTTTTTTTCTTTAATATATAAAAGTTAAAAGAGAAAAAGCACTTGATTCTAGAGAAATCAAAACAAAAACAATAAAATATAAAAATTCTAATAAAAACCTTCATTTAATTTTTGTTAAAGGGTAAAACAAAACTAAAGAAATAGAATAGAATAAAAACATGGATTAACCCTTACAGGTTTAGAAAATGGTGAATAATTCAGACAAAAATGAAAGGTTACTAACTCTAGATTAAATATCGAGTATGGAAATGAACAAGTTATTTTTTGGAGCTATTTTAAGAAATGGTCAACAATCCAAGTATCAAACATAATGCCATTTGGTGTGACAGCATCCAAAGTTGCTATCCAGAAAGCTTCTTTAAACCCACCGTCTCTTTTTGACATGCAACCAGCATTATACCCATGAGTTTAATGAAGAGAGTGGTTGGACATATAAAATTGATTAGCCACAGGAAGCTCTTTGTTCATGGTAATTGAAGATCTGTGATTGTTAATTTTTTTATATATATATTTGTGGTGGTTTGTCCCATATAATGGAAGTTTAATTTCTTACACTGAATCAGATAAACAACATTTTTGGTGGTTTTGTGATTTTGTACTGTTTTTCGTTCTTTACCACAGAATTTATCTGTATGTTGTACAAACTTGCAGGTTTGGCAATGCTTGCTACTGCAGGGTTAACTTATACAGTGTGTTAAATAAAAAAATACAACTGATTTTAGCCTATCATTAAGCTGAAGGAGGAAAAATGTTTTTCAGGATCTGGGGTAAGTTTCTCAATTTTTGATAATAGTTAATAATCAGTGGAACATGGAAGGAGATTGTATGCGATGGTTACTTCAAGGAATCATTGCTTGAGATACTGTTGGATGTGTCTGTTTGTGGTTATAACCTCTTTAGTCATAGTTTTTTGAAAGAATCAAATGGACATTGACACAGATGGACAGAATCACAAGATTTAACTTGTTTTGGGTAACGTAGTGTGGTATAAAGGCTGGAGCAAGCAAGGTGAGATTCATACCAATGCTTAGATGGGCAGATCATCAGGATAAAGCTTAAGTGTGAAAGGAGGTAAGTGTGTTTCAGAAAAACGTGCTTAGAAGGAGTGGGTCTTTACTGCTAATGTCACAATCAAATTCAAAAAGTTTGTCATGTCTCTAATGGAAGATGGTAGACATGGGGTGGGGGGGGAGGAAGAGCCTTTCACATGGTGGTCCACCTATACAGATACATTTTCAGTAGGCATACGTGTTAGAAATAACCAGAACTATTTTTGATAACATGTAAAAGTGACCTGGAGTGGAGGTGTTTAGGTAAAAGGAAATTTTAGAGTTTTGAAACTAGTGTGTTGGTTTTTCTGCAAGTTGTTCAGTATTTCATCAACAGTTTGAACAAACTGGGGAGTAAAGTATTCATTTACTTTTTTATAGTAGTTAGTATCATTAAGTTGTCAGTAAGCTTCATTGACATAGTCAGTTCTTTATTGGATGACAATGGTGCCCCTGTGTAAGCTGGTTTAGTAACAGTATCTTTATCATGTTTTAGTGGAATCAGATCAACACATTCTTTGCAGAAAGGATTATTGTGTACTTTGGAATTGGAGTTAATGGTTCAAATTACTTCATTCTCAATGGTAGTGATAAAGCTTTCCAAGTGTGGTCCTCTCAAGTGAGTTTTGGGAGGGGTGGAAGATAATTAGGCAGATTTCTCTTTGAATTGTGAGTTATGAGTATTTGCATTACTGAATTTTTGTGAAAAATATTCCCAAAGCCTTAGTTTGTGACCAAATCCTTGTAAGTTGATGTAAGAAGATTGTCTAGATAGTTAAAAGTAAGAGAGATTAAGACCTTTACTTCAAAGGTTAATTTCAGCTTCAGATAATGTTTTGGAGAACATATTGAGAATATTGAAAGTGTTTTCAAATTGTGATTGCTTGAACAATGAAATAACTGAATTGAGTGAATCTGGAACTTTTTTCCTTCAAAGGTCAATCTATTTCCCACTGATTGTGAGAGTTTCCATTAGCAAGATGGTTTGTATACAAGCATCTCTACTTTGTAAACTGTGTTGAGGAGATTTTTCATTTTCATACTGAATGGAAACTGATGTGGTGTTTGGTTTCCTTGTTTTTTTTTCATGTTTTCAAAACACGTTTTGGTGTTGTTGATGAAAACGTCTAGTTATTGTTGTTCGGCAGAAGAAACTGTGTGATCAGCTTTCAGTGTTCAATGTTATTAAACTTTCTTTTTGACCCTGTATGAAAGCTTTACATATTAACATGTTTCAGATAAAAATGTACATCCTTATACAAATATCATTTTGATCACTTTTAAATAGTTGCCTATTCTTCTTCAGGAGTAAAAAGGTTAAAGAGTATGGGATAATCACTATCCAATAGAAGTACACATCATTCCTTCTAAACATCCACTATAGAACTTGCTCCCTAAATGCCACTGATAAAGATAATTTTCAGGATCTGGATGTTGATGAGTTGACCATCTTAGTTGAACCTATAAAAATAGCAGATTAGCATAGAGTTGGATCGATCTTGAGAATGGTAACATGTCCTAAAATGTGTGTGAAACTACCAATCAGTGGAAATTTCTCATCCCTAACTAATGTTTCCAAAGTAAAAGTTATTGTAGGTAAATTGAAAATGAAAAACCTATTATAAAATTAAAAATTTTAATTTTTACAATGCAAACAATATATTAAACATTACATCAAAAGTAGGTGATTTTATACCTTGGTATACAATTTTTTAAAGCAAGCTCATGATAAAAATTAGATAAACAAAAGCTTTTGTTTGCATCAAAGTTTCTGGATCTTTTGAAATTTACTTTTTCGGTGACCTTTTGTGCTAACACTTTCATGATGACAGTAGAAATAAAAATGGACAACTGAACTTTTCTTGAACTATCAAAACAAGCAGAGCAAACAAAGTTGAATGAAAATAAAAATATCTTTGTGACAGCTTTATGAGATGTTTGTGGCCTTTTATTAGAAATATTTTCAATATGCTTTGTTTCAAAGCCCTTTCTTTTTCCTTATCTTATATTCATTAGGATCCGAGGCTCAATCACGATCTATTTGTTTCTAATTAACCCAAAATTTTGTTATCCACTTTGCTTTGGTTGCTTATTTACATGTACAGTATAGCTTTTATTATTCAATTTTCACCAAAGCTTAACTCAATATCTCACTCTAAATTCATGCTTGATTTTACTAGTAATGGAATCTTAAGTTTTTCTTGTTTTTTGCTAGCTCTCAAAATCTGAAGTTCTCTGAACATTTTTCAATGACAACCAAAAAAGTATTAGAATAGTAAAGTTGTCAAATATGAGCATTTTTTATGTTGACCTTGAACACAAGTGCAAACGTAGAAGGACCAACTGTAAACGTTAAAATATCATTCCTGTGCGTGTGAGCAAAGAATTACAGGAACCATCTTAAATAAGTGCTAAAGCAATATCATCCGAGAAGTTTTTAATAAACCAAAATAAGAAAAACAGTTGAAGTAAAACATAAAATTTCCAATAAAGCAGTTCTGGAATAGTAAATAACTCACAGTTTCACTTATTGGTTAAGCCAATAAAATTAAAAAGGTAAAATAAAAAAGTATGGCAGAATTCAACAAAAATGCTGATTTAATACAAATAGTATCAAAATTGTTTTTAAAAAAATACTAATATAATTTTGATACACATCTTGTGCTTTAAGACCAATTAAAGAGATATAGAGAAACATGTTTGGATAGTTCGATCATTAAAAAGTTTTACATACTACATGATATACACAAGCTATTTCATTTAAATACTCACTCGAATGACTGCATTGCAAAATTCCATGCATATTGTGCCTTTAGACTCAGTTTTACGTTCATCTTTATGAAACTCTAGTATGTGAGAACCATCTACCTGTTGGCGTAATGTCATATATCTTCTCTTAAACGACTAAAATAAAGAAAATAAAAAAATTCAACGTGATATTTGAATAACAAATAATGTGAAGCTAAAGATGTTATAGAAAAATTAATTAATTAAAAAAAAGATTTGAAAATACAGCTTATTGTGCTACTAGCAAAAACACACATACCAAATTACCTGAAAACTGGATAAAAAATTATTTTTAAACTTTAAAAAACAAATCATATCTAAAATGGTTACTTTACTAACACATAAACAACAGTCATGTAAATTACTGCAACAAAAACTTAACCAAATTCATAGAAATCAGTTCAATGATCAGTTTTAAAACATATTTATACAGGAAAAATGTAGGAACGTTCTATTAGTTACAAAACACAAAAAGAAACACATTTTTCAACGTTGTTTGAAAATTGAAATGTATGATTCAAAGGTTTTGAAAATATTGCATACTTAGTTGTAACATATGCGAGATATTACTTTATAATAAAACTGATAATGATTTAAATCACACAATTATTTGCTGCCCTAATGTAGATTTGCAGTAAGATAAGCGTATAATAGGATTGTTAACTATACCTTTTTTGTTCTTTGCTAATGCTGACAAGGTCTTTCATTCAATGCTTGAGATCATTAGACAGGCTGAATTACAACATTCAAAACTTTAACTGAAGTCTCATTTATATCATTGTTTACTAGACAACATGTCTTTTAGGTTTAGGCTTGAATTTGTAACATAAAAACTTTATTATAAGTTTAACATAGTAACAAAATATACATTTTGACAAGGTTTTGCCACCATCAGGTAAAAAAACATTGTAAATTTGTTACTAAATGAAACTAATAAAAACGTTTTCTTTATTACCCATTCAAGCCAACTCCAAAATCTATTAATCACAAAATGGGTTCCTTGTCATAAAATTAGGGTTTAAGTTGTTCATGTAAATGGCAATGCATAACATTTAGTAGTATTATATGTGTGATATCAGTTATGATATTCTATACACACTGATGTGTAAACAATGTCTTAACTTAATATTATGATGTAGTTCAGTTAAGATAAAAGTTTTGAAGCCTATTAACTTACCTTGGTTGCTAAACTTATAAAACTGTCACTGCCAGATTCTGGGCCTTTTAACATATAGCCTTCTTTGGTGATACCACTATGACTATTCACTATACTGATCTAAAAGTCAATACATAAAATACATATTATCTTTTAATAATATTTTGATGAACCATTAGTCAAGTATCGTTAAAAACTACTTAAGATGTTTAATTGTAGTATAAAATTCATTCATCCTACTTAGAACATCTATAATAGACGTTTATGAATAAACAGTTATACTGAAATACATCTGTAATACATAAAAAGCATAATCTTTGTTTTTCAAACTTAAGAAAAACAGCTGTGGCTAATAACATGTACTTTGCAAGAATAAAAAAAAATAAATAGCTACTACAAGTATTACAGAAAACATTACAATGTTAACATCTATCTTTTTGTAACAATATGGTACTGAATAAAAAAACAACATACATCAAGCCTCTGCAACTATCTCTCTGAACTTATTTTCTCCATAATATCAAATACAAATAACGTTTACTTTGTAATTTGATTTTTTTTTGCCACATGTTCAAAAATCACATTAAAAAAAAAAGGAAAGAAGAGGACTCACTACTGGGTGAAAACAATACAGGAAAATAAACCAGCAAAGTCCAGGAAAAATAAACAAAATGAGAAACTCAAAATGGTTAAGAATAGTTTAAGGAATTGTAGAAAAGTACAAAAAAATCTGAGACACTTAAAAAACAAAGTGAACCAAAATAAGTGGGAAAAAATCATCTAGCTTTCAGCAAGATCAAGCTTCCTCCTTTTGGTACTTAATTATTTCAGTACAGGCTCGGTCCCTAGGACCAACCTAATAACCAGTTTGTGCTTGTTATAATTTTCATGCTATAACTTTTAAATTAGTGAGCATATGTTAATGAAATTTGGCAGTTTATCAGTGAACATTACAAAGCTTTCATATGCAAAATATCTAATTTTTTTATTAAGTCTTAAGGTTTGTAAAGCAATGTTGTTCTCATGCCTTTTTTTGTTTTTTTTTGCATGTTGCCTATCTGACATGCAAAGTAATTTTCATTTTAAAATAAAAAATACTTTTATGCATCAGAAATTTTCAAATTTCACATGCAAAATCTTTTTAATGTCCAGATAGTTATCAAACGTTTCTTAAGAAAAAACTTTATATTTTATCTGTTATTTTCAGTAACGAATATCTGTATGGGTTCGGGAGATTTGACCGATCTCATAACCACCATTAAAAAATTGGGAAATAAATTATGTCTCTTTCATTGTAGAATAAAAACAAATTATAATATGAAATCATAAATGTTTAGAGTAAATAGCTTAAATCTCATAACATTATATATTATTTTTATTATATTGACCTGACTAATAGAAGTTACAATGACATGGCACACGTACACTCATGTTACCATATCCAATAACATAAAACTGACCTTTAGTCTTTACAAAGTGACCTGTCTTGGCTGTGTTTTAGTAAATTAGTATTTTGTAAAATACAGTCACATTTCAATCATTATACATTATATATGAATACAGATTATTGCTATTTAGAAATAAGTTCTTAAAACATAGAACAGTAAATAAAGATGTAAAGCAAACAATTATCTCTTCTTGTTATGACCTTTTTACTCAGTTGCTAAGCCTTTTAAAATTTTGGACACTGAAGATATGAAACAAAATAATTTTCTTAGGTTTTATATATACAGTTGAATAACTAAAAAATCATTAATTACTATATTGATACCACAGAATTTATCAAGCTTAGTAATTAATCTGTATTTCAGTCTAAAAAAATATTAAATTTCAAGCAGACTATAAAGACACAACCTAGCTCCTTGAAATCTTGGTTTGAAAGAAATAGATGACATCTTAACACATGAAAATGGCTGAGAAAGCCAATAGGGGGAGCGTTTGATTGATAATGGCTGGAGACGGCTTGAATGGGTAATGAAGAAAAACTGATGATGACAAAACCTTGTCGAAACATTGTACATTTGCTGTTATTTTAAACTTATATTAAAGTTTTTCTTCATTACCCATTCAAGCCGTCTCCAGCCATTATTAGTCTCAAAGTGGGTTCCTCGTTATCGAATTCGAGCTTTTGATTGGTTACTCTCATGTCATATATTGAAGTAAGTATATATATAAGGGACCATTTCTAAAAATGGAAAGATGTGAGCAGGGCAACTGTATTTGATTCATTACATGAGTGATATATCAACAAACAGAAAAGATAGGAGGTTCTTATTTTCTATTCTAGTTTGTCAATATCAGTAATTTGAGTTCCTAATTCATACAAAACTATAGACTTAGTATTTTGATATCACAAACATCTAATGCTGCATTCAACATACCACGTGACACACAAAAATCAATGTTTAACTGTGTTTTTTTATATATATTTACTTTTAAATTACGAAACTGAGTAATTTATAATACTAAAATTTGAATTATAATCTACAGTTTGATATGAAACTTATTGACATAAATTCATGAAATAGCAGTCCAATAAAATTTTGAATGCTAGTCAACAAACACAATGAAATGGCCTTTCACCTGTAACTGTCTGGAAATGGTTAACCACAAAATTAGGCTTCTCTGAAAGATTAGGCCTATTTTTTGTTGTTTCTTTTTGTTTTTCATAATTTTTCCCATTTTCTTTATTTGTTTAGTTTTTTTTTAATTTATTCATAATACCCCCAAACCTTTTTGGCCAAATTGTACCTTTACTATTTCAACCCGACCTCTACCTGCTACTAATTTTCTGCATAACCAGCACAAGTCGTGCTATATTTTGTTCCAACAATAAACTAGTGGATGAAATTATTTGAAACTTCAAATTGTTTTCTTAGAGAGCACTTATTTAGAGTCTCAAATGTATTTTGGGATTTTTTTATTATATTTCTCTTCAAATTTCATTAAATAATACAATTTAGTACAAATAATTCAATGTTATGCTATTACTTATAAAAATAAAATCTGAATTTGTCTAATTTACAGGTTTTTAAAACCTTATTTTTGCCAAAATCACATTTGTTATGATGCATAACAGTTATAACAGAAAAAAGACAAAACCACTGGAGTATATGAAAATGTGTGTAGATAGATAACATGAAATCAAAAAGAACTTCAATTCCTGTATTAGCTACAGAAAAAAAAAAAAAGTTCAGACTTTGTTTCTATTATTCCCTTTCATGAAAAGATAACAAAAGTCTCCTTGTTTGTTCTCTCTTTCTCTGCCTATTTATATTCATACTTAGCAGAAGGGCTGAAATTCAAGTATGTTTTAGTAACATCATGAATTCACTTAATAGAGATATTAATACTACGTTGTAAGTCACAACCACCTGTGGTGCATAAATATCCTCAAATACTTTTGATCACATGGCACACAAAGTTAGGGGAATCCTGTCTTATTATTCTGTTAGTACAATTGTAAGTTCTTTTACATCATATGGTGGGTGAAATATTCAAGAAGATCACAGAGGTTTCATAATAGCTTCTTGCTAACCAATTTATTAACCCTGTGGTTTATTAGTCATGACAGTTCCCTATAAGCCTTAACTTATAACACTGGGGATTATCTTGCATAAGCAAAAAGTGATATGAATAAACATCTAGGTTCAATATGGTTAAACAGTAAATTCATAAGGTAGAAGCATGATAAAATTCATTTATTTATTTATACCAAACCATAACAAAACTCTTCAAATGGCCATACTTGACTGTGTTGCACTGGGAATTTGAACATGAACTCACTAATTATTGGTAAACACATATGTGATGTGTATATACATGTTATTTTGGCATTGCTACCAATTCTGATAACCACAACAAATGTTCAATGAGTTAAGGCAAAGTTACAGCTGATCTAATAATCTTAAGTTTCGCTCTAGAAGTCTGTTTCTCAAAACTTGTTATGTCTTATAACACATTTCACAATACTGTTCAATGTATAGTTATTTCATTTGAAATCCATATGCTTCCCACTACAGATGTAGACAAACCAAAAGGAGCAGCCTCTTGTCCCTATATTTGACCACTTTCCAGAATTTTAACAAGAGGTCTGAACTTCTGTTAACAATTTTTATGTACCACCAGGAAATGACACTTTCACACAATTATACTGAAAGAATAACCAAAATTTAAATAATCATTGACCCAGCAAGTCAAGAAAGGATCCAATATAAACAAGAAAAGGTAGTGTCATTCAACAGAAAGTAAAATTTTCAAAATGTGCTCAAAGAGCTTTGCATTCTAACATCATTCAACATTAAAACACGTACAAAGCCAATAACACATTTTTAAAATTGCATTTAGGTAGTTATCAACACTGTAATTATATGGGAAAAAACATTTTACCGTATCTTTAACTTCTGTATCCACTTCATACACATGATCTTGAAGGTTTGTAGGCTTAGGAATCCTGGAAATGTATTTTAGATATGATACATTTAAAAATTTGCAACTTCTACACCAGATAACTTGGATAAAAAGCAATTAAGAGTTAGATGGAAATGCATTTAAAAGTAAATATTACCAAGAAATTATTATTTTAAAAATAATTATCCTTTTAGGTCTCCAACTTGATTAGGATATTATCTGACATTCAGCCATTTAGGAGTAAACAACCAACAAAATGACCAATTTCACCAATATTATTAATATTAATTAAAGTTGCAAAAAATGTGTAACATCGGAGTACTACAATATTAGTCCTCATCTAGTGGAGCTATGATCTTTAGATAAAATCCATTTACATAGTCCATATTTCCATTTATGTATCATAATGAAATTGTTTCATTCCCTGCAATGCAAAAAATGGAGATCATACTCAACAGTTATGAGTTATTTTGTTTAAATATGAAAATTTCAACAGTAATAATGAAACATTATAAGAGAGGAAGATGCTGCTAAAAAATATCTTATTATGTCCTGTTTATATTACTGAAATGTAAACTTAAAAGATATTCCAGTACCAATGATCCTAATCCTAGGGAACTAATCACATTGATAGAATGGAAAAAAATTAAAACCCAGAAATATGGAGGGAAATGAAAACAATTGGTTCTAGAAGAAGTTCTTTGGATAAAGATAAAACCAGTTTCTAAAAGTTTGACATTCTCAATAAGACATGTTCATTAGAGGGGTAGAGAGTAAGAGAAATGAGCAAAAGAAATATATTTTTAATTTTATGTGGTTACTACTTCTCAAGTAAAATAGAATGCAGTTTGATAAATACCATTATTAAGCACACAGCTACACAATGAGCAGTGCCCACAACATATATCAAAACTGAGTTTTTAGCATTATAAGCCTTCAGACTTATAGGTGAGTCACTGGGGGGCTCAAAATGATAAAGAAAGCTGTTAAGACAGAAGGGTAAAGCAGATAACCAACTTGGTGAAATGCCCAGTCCAAACAAAAAATCATATTTAAAGATTAAAACTTTAAAGTAACAGTAGATGAAGCTTATATTTGAAGATTAACCATATGTTTCTTTGTCATAAACAAATATTTATTTTTATATTATTGCATAAAACAACATATAGGTTTTACACCAAACATTGCTGTCACATTTTAAATGACTTTAAAATGGTCTCAACACAAAACAGTTTAAAAATACAACTGTAAACTCCATATGAATGTTGTACAGCTCTGTTAAGTAGCTCAGGCTAAACGAAAATTGGTACACAAGGAATTAAAAGTTTCAGATACTGGAAGAGGTTCTACAAAAGTGATCCTATATATATGTAATTGAGAATAATATTACCATAAAAGACAATTTAAAAAAGACTCTACACTTCAAAAATAGTGTATACTATCAAAACAAGCCACCTCGTATATCATTACATGCATCAGCAGACATCTAGGATATAAGTTGATATAATTTCTCTCGTCCAGACTTACAAGCAATGAAGACTAGACACGGATGTAAAAGTAACCATCTAAAAGGTTAGACTGACTTGCAAAAGCATGTCTCTAAAATGCTGGACTAATACTACTCCTGATTAAAGGGAAAAAAAGGCATCATGTTTCAAAAATAACTTGTAGTTAAAATAAATTGTGAAAAATAAATCTTAAAAGATTATGAAATCTTACTCCTCCTAAATACAAGTATATTAATCAAACAAACTGAAAACAAAACATCAAACTTTGTTTAAGTAACAATAACAGATTACAACTGCTCAAAGAAAGTAAAACTTCAAATTTCATGTATTAAATTGAATTCACCTCCTACACATTAAAGGATAAAAACCAATTAAACTACATTTTAACACAGAAAGCAAAAAACATACAGTATATTTTATGAATGGTTTTTTCTAAAACAAACATATATTTTTAGCTATGAATAGCATTTAATGTTCAAAATACCTTTTTGTACTCATTTTAAAATGTTTCTTTCAACTGTTTTATGAAACTTTCTATTCCTAAAATTATATAGTTTAACAACTTAACACTGTATAAGTTCAAAGTTCAAAGGTATTCGTAACAATAACTTATTCATATCTTTTCTTACTTTCTTTCATTTTCAAAACACTATTACACTAAAATAGTTTAAAACTTTCCAAGAAAAATTCAAAAATTTGTTTCTGTATATTAATTTTTTTATAAACTCACCTGAGACAAAGATATATCTTAAATATCATGCTTTCCTTATGATACCAATAGACTGAATTCATAAATTATTTGAAATGGTTTTATGTATTAGGTCATCTACAATTAACTTCAACATAAACAAAATAATCTACGATTTTTATATTTTAACCTTTTCCCTGCAGCTTAGATGTATATTTCTGGGTGCTCCCACCCCCTCCCACTGTGAATGGGACAAATGTTTTCCACTGTCATTCAAAATTGCTGCTTATGACATATGGGAGTAAAATGAATTGAAAAGTATTTGTTGGCATCCCATCTAATATTGATATATGGTTTCCCTCACTGTTTTTCACTCAAACCTTCAGTAGCCAACAATGTGCCTAAGCAGAATGTACGACAGCAGCATGCTGACTATGCCTGTATTGCTAAAGCAGCGAGTAGTAACCCTAATTACTATGTGAATATGCTTGATGCATTTGACTCAGATTGCTTAGAAGATAGTAAAAGTGAGTCAAGTGGTGTTCAAATGCGTGAGGCAATGAGACAAAAGGATGCTAGCTCTCCATCTAGTGACGATAGTGGTGATGATGAACCAGGATCCAGCAGATGAAGGTGTAAACAGTGTCGACAATGAGAAACATTTGTCCCAGTAGCAGTGTGAGGAGGTGGGAGCACTGCAAAATACACATCCCAGCTAAATCTAAATCACATATTTTTGTCACCTCTAGTATGACTACTACACATGTATAATGTAGAAGCTAATAAGAAAACATTGTTATATTACACTCACACAGGTAGTTGAAGATATATTCCTGAATAGTCACTGTACTTGTACTTGACAACCTTATAGTCAGCTGTGTAAGACCTAATGCATTCCTGAACAAAGAGGGATTGGGCTTCTTTCTCAGCTCCAGGTGGGATGGTTGAAACTGTTGTCCTTGATGTCTTCTTGACTGTAATTTGCTGCAAAATCAAAAACAGCCAAAGAAAAATTCAATATTACATTAGATTTAAACTTTCTTGAAGCTCTTATATAAATCTTTAGCAAAATCAGCACTGGTTTCTTTTGTTTATCTGCTCACTTATTTAGAAAAAAAGAACAAAAAAAAAGAAAAACCAATACATTAAAAAATCCTTTCATGTAATACAGCAGCAGGTAAAATATTATTTTAAGTCTGTAATATTTTATAATTAAACTATGAGAAAACATATACAGTGGAAGAAGAAACAACAAAACCACTTAGAACAATTGTATGTGTAAAATTTACTGATGAGTTTTTGCTTTAACAGGTACAGTAAATGATTTTTACAATATATATATATACATGTATTTCAATCATGACAAATACAATTTTACAATGTCACTATTATAAATCACTTAAAAGATACAAGAATCATATCTCAAAGTAACTTCTATTAAGTAACATTTATTTAAAACAAAAATATAGTACTCCTGTGAGAATACCTGCTTGTACTGTAAGTAAAATATCATAGAAAACAAAAGCATCACTATATGTGTAAGAATACCTGCTTGTACTGTAAGCAAAATATCACAGAAAACAAAAGCATCACTATATGTGTAAGAATACCTATCATCCCAAAACATCATTAACATTTTTAAAAACCAGTGCTTTGTATGTTACATTCTCTTTTTAGTAGTTCACCTACAAGTTTTTCTAATTTTATCCATCATATGACAATTTCCTTGCCATTCTATTTTCAAACTCAATATATCTTTCTATCTAACTGTAATAAATTAAAAAATGAATGATTTGAAAAACCTATAATTTCTTGTTTTATCAACATAGTAAATGTAGTAAACAACTTACAAATACATCATCAAGTGGAAAAAGCAACATTTCTCGCTGAGGATCATTTTGAAGAATAGTTTTGTTCTTGAGGATAAATGTTTCATAGTCCAAAGGTTCAACTAACTGTGGTTTTACCTGTAAGAGATTACAAATATTTACTAGTTAATAGTTTTATTTTCAAGGATGAAAATTTCAGTGTCAAAAGGATCAACCATCTGTAGTTTTATATGTAATATACCATTATTTCTTTTACACCACATCAATAAAATAATGACATATTCATTATCCATGCCAAACAACATATGGACATAGTGGGCAAATAACTCAATTATTCAGTTACCTATAAGCATTGATTACATCAATTAGTATCAAGTAAAATCACCAATTAATTGAAATTAATTAAATTGATTAATGTCATGAAATTAATCAACTTATAAAAATTCAATGTTTCTGAGTATTACTGTTTTTGATTAATTGAATTATCTAAGTAATCAAAATATTGTCACTGTGATTTAAATCAATTTCTCATTTTCAAAAATATTGTGGTTGTTCAGCTTAATTATTTAGTGTCATGAATCACAAAAATAATCAACTAAGTAATAATTGGAAACATCAATTTCAATATTTTCAATTATTCTGCTATTAAAGCCTCATGTGAGGATAATTGATTAGCTGGATAGAATCAATTAATAAGCCTGACAATTAATTGCTTATCAAATTCCAATAATTACACAGCTCTACATTATATTGTACCTGAAATACCTAATGTAAATTAAACTGAATGTGAATGAGGATAATATTTTTTTAGTATCTACATTGTAATATTTATAGCCTTTCAATTCATAACAGTCATTCAGTCAACTAGTAAAAAAGAAGGTGATGCCCTGGCCTAACAAAGTACACATATCTGGAGCAAAAAGGTCTAACAAAGTACACATATCTGGAGTGAAAAGAACTTAAGCTGCAAATACATGTAGGCTATTTCATGTAAATTTGGCCAGTGCCTCCAGCTTGACCTTTTCTAGAGTTGCTAATATGCCAGTTATTATGCCCTTGTAAGAATAACTTTACAGTCAACAGTAAATACCTGTGACAAAAGTCAAATGACTAATTTTATTGTACTGTGAATAACAAGACTTCCACAAAATGAATAATACAACTTCTATCTTCCATGGTCCTGACTGACAGTTTATAGCTAAATTCAACCATTTTCATTTATCTAATAACTGCACTGGTCATATTCCCCGATCATGCACTGAATGAAAATTAAAACACCGGTCAAGTTGCCTTGACATCAGGTACATTTAAAGCCCACCATATGTAAACCAGTTATTTGCAATTTTCTGTAATTTGCAAAAAGTTTTCCTGTCCTTTAGCTATGGGACTTCCTACAAAATTTGCTCAATTTCAAGAAAGAAACTGGTAAAGTGCAGTTACAATTAAAAGGAATTCACCGTATTTAATAAACATTCTGAATGTTCAAAATAAAATGTGCTTGAACTAGAAAATACAGTTGTTGTTTTTTATTAATAGGGGCACTTGAAATATTCTGAAGTTAGTATATTTTCATTAATTATACTTGACAAGTATAAATAATTATAATCATGTTTCAGTTGCCTTGAAAAGGTGTTCACACTATAATATTTGTTAATATGTTTCCCCACTGCTACAGTTCCTTTTTAAAATGTAATATTTAATGCAGGTAATTCAGTGATTTCCATAATAACCTACTGCTGGCCTAAATAACCAACTGTAAATTGAGCTACTTCAAATTTCTTTTGTAAATTTACAATTGTGTATTTGTAAATGTAAAGTTATTGGCAACAATGCATTTATTCCCATTGTAAAATCATTGTCTGTATTGCAGATATAAACATATCTTGTTGCTGTGTATACCAACAATATTTTTTCTGTACCAAACATTCTATTGATCAGAGATCTTAATCAAGTAGAAACTTGAATCTAATAGAGGAATTGGATTGAAAATCATTACGGTTGAAATATAAAGAAAATACAATATTAGATTATTATAGCCCAATCCACAAACATTGCAAATGTTTGTGTAGAGAAAACTGTCATTAAATTTATTGCATTTGAACATTTTTTTATTTTTGCCCTAAATATTAAGACTGGTGACTGATATACTTCTTTATAATATTAAAATAAAATACTTCTGTTTTGACAATCTTGCAAAGTATGATTTTAAGTGAAATTTAGTAGTACATTTGATATGAAGGAGTTAGCGAATTTCAAATGACTAGTGCTTTGAGTTTTTATTGCAACCTATAGTACTCATAAGTGTTCTTCCTTTCTTAATTAGCACTGTAAGCCTAGAGAAAAACTATGCATTTAAAACTTAAAAAGAAATGAAAAAAAATTCCTTTATTGTAAGCCACCATATTTGGATACTGAAGAAGAATTAAAATTTGAACAACATGAAAGTAACAACTTAAGCTTTCAAATAAATATTTATAATTAAGACAATGTATTTGCAATAGCTTATTATCAGAATGGCAAATATTTTTGTAGAGATTTGTTGAAACTGATCTTTTCTTAATTTTACTTTTCAACTTAGAGAAAGGCCATAGTTTCAATAAAATATTGTAGTGAAATAAGTTTTTAAATATTTTGATTTTTGTATTGTTAGCTATAGTGAGTTCTCAAGTTGATGTGATGTAATAGGCACATGGACACTTGAAAGTTTGGGAAGATTGCAGATTGAACTAAAACAATATTTATAACACCCATGCATGTTATTTAGGTTGTTGGAGAGTTAATTCACTTAGCTGGTGATTTTTATCACAGATTTTAGGCCTATTAGTTTCTAATGCCTCACCATCTTTTGGCAGTTAAACCATAATCTTTCAAAATCAGGGAGCATTTGTTATGTTAGTTTCATGCCAAGTATTATCTAGTTACATCAGAACTGGAAAGAAATTTTACCTGTGAAAAATAAACAACACCAGGTGGAAAACATTAAACTGATTTTGAAATGATAACAATGTTTTGTGCCAATGTCCTTCATCAGATAATGATAAAATTCTTATAAAACCATATGAGAAACAAAATCATATAACAATAGCAGAATAAAGAAATGGTATGTTATACATTGCATGATATGAACATTAAAACATTTTCATATAAATGAAACAAACAATACAATAACATCCAAATAAATGATACACAATAAATTAATAAAACAAAATAAATGTCAATGAATTAAAAAAGTACGACAAGATAAATTGAAATAAAGGGAAGAAAATACAGCAACTGCTCTTTTAATGATGTTAAGCTACTAGTTAAAGAAAATGAGAAACACACACAAAAGAATGTAGGGCATAGATATAAATTTTATGTCACAGTAAAGGACTATAAAAATCAACAATTAGTTAAAAGGAAACATTAAATGAAAGTTTTTTTTTGTATAAATTAATTGTGATTGGGGAAAATGAAAGAGTTCTTAGGATATAAATAAGGCACAGTTTCTCACATTCACATAAGGAACATTCAACTTTAGCACACCTGGTACGTGAAAGACTGTATTTGTCATTGCAAAAAATGTCCAGAGACTTAGCTCATTAATATTACCATTAATATTATATCTTCTGTGTTCACAAAATCTCTCACTAACTTTACAACCTGTCTCACCAATATATAAAATGTTGCAAGGACAACAGATTATGCAGTGAATGACAGACCTAGATAAACACCCCATGAAAGATTTTTTAAACTGAAATGTTTTTCATCTGCTGTTGTTTATTTGTAGAAATTGGAAATTTTGGAGTTAAATTCATAAGCATGAAGGTTAAGCAGATAAATGCTTAGAGATTTTGACAGTGAATAACTAATATTAGTGAAAAGTTTTAAGGGAGGCAGTCTGTAGTTTTTGAGTGTTTGACAGTACATCAGTGTCATTTTTTAGAAATTTATATCATCAGACAGGCTTCAGCTTTTTGAGAAATTCAGACAAATAATAATGATAACCTTTTTCTAAAAGTTTACACTAAGTTATGGTTGCATTCATAAAGTAAATAAAGAATTTTCACTGGATACTGGCTGTTTCTCTTCATTTAACATGTTTAAAGTCCAGTGTGCACTATGCTACCTGAAGAACGCTTACTTGTTTAATGAAAAACGTACAGCTTCAAAAGAAAGGTAATTATAAAAAATAAAGAAAAGGAATCAACTTTTCTTTGGGATATATATATATATATATATAAACAATTTTCTTCATTTATATTACATTAATGTTTTGTTAAGCATTTAAGAAGTGATTAACATGTTGTATATAAACAAATGGACAAATGCCTATTACAAACTGCCTATAACTTCAGTGGGAGTACTTCAGTTAAAACATAATGATCAGCCCTCTTCAGGATAGACACATGCCAACATCATAGTTGATCTGAGCTACAGGAGTTGGTTATACAACAATTTTTATGAGAAAAAACTTGACAAATGATATATCTTACCACTAATAGGATACCATGATTTTATTCTGATTAAAAAAAAAACATGTCATCAGTAAGACATTCACAGGTTAATTGTTTACCAATCTGTATTAGATGTGATTTTTCCAACAGTTCACTTATTACTAATTTGTAGGCAGTGGAGGACAAGGTTCTAATTCAATGAAAAAGAGGCAATGCTCCTACCATCATTTATGAGCAACATCAAATAGAATCTACTGAAAAACCAAAAGAAAATGTTCATCAACTAATGCTAAAAAACACTGTACAAGTCCCTGTACATATTCCAGTACTGAATCACATTTTAAACTGAATGAGTTAGATATAACATAGGCTAATATTAATGAAAAGTTTCTGTAGTTTAGTATAAAATGCTTGTTAATTTTAACTATTCTCCTTATTAATGTTACACATGAGAAGCTGAATTGAAAAATATATATTCATATTCAATAGGTCAATCATTTTAACCAGCAATTCCATCAGTGTGTGGAATACATACCCATTGTTTGAAGACTGTGAAGGTCTTTGAAAAATGAATTATCATAAATAACAAAACAATTTCAAAAACTATTTTTTTAGATAACAAACAGATGTAAGCTCAATCTGTATGGAACAATGAACAAGTATATATATAACAGTTATAACAGATGTAAATGTAATATGTATGAACTAAAATACAATAACAGTGAGCCAGACATATACACACTAAGAAACTGTAATAATAGCCTATGTGTAAAATGTACATACACTGCAAAAACTTGATAGTTTCGCACTTCATCATTTTTTACTAATAAGTAAATATAAAGTAATCTACATGTACTGCAAAACGTAACCTACAAGAAGATCAAAAACATTTCTCAAGGAGGAGTAGTAGTAGTTTTATAATCATAAAATACAATAACATTTCTGTATGTGAACCTACATATATTAAGTTCCTATTATGCTTTACCCACCTCTCTTCTAAGAATGAAGTAGACTGACTTGACAAGTTAAATCCGGTTCTGTAATAATAAGCCCACTTAAACAATAAAAAGTGGTACTTCAGATTACAATATACTGTATATTATGGTTATTATTACATTGACTAGTTTTGTTTATCAGATTAGAAATATTTAATTACTTTGTTTCTCAATTTTTTAACATCTGTTAACCTTAGCTTCATACCAGCCGACCTAATAACATAAAATTATATTGAACTACTGTGCAAGAAATTCCTTGGACTTTACTGCTGCTTCTGAGAAAACCAGTAGAATATAAATTAAACAAGTATTTCAGAAGAAATATTCACAAGTGTACCTTATATTTACACTATATATTCATAAGGTGTATAAGTGAAAAATCTTTAGTTCTCTTATGTTAAGCTATACTAATGTACAAACCTATATCGCATAGTAAGGAACTTAGTCAACTTTTCAAGGTTAGGCATTTAACACCATTGTATTGAATATTATTACTGCATACAAACAGCATATCAGATAGTCATAAAACTACACTGCTGGTCCAGCCCAGCCAATAGCTGTAGTACTGAATGAAAGGGACCTTTCAGAAAATGATTTGTGTCAGTCAAAAAATAGATACAAAATTCTATTAATAAGCATATCTAATTTAAGTACATAACAGACTGACTACTAAGATTGGACAGGGAACAGAAAAATTTGCAGCCTAAATAACATTACATTGTTTAATGTGTAATAGAATTTCCAAATATCAAGTTAGTGACATGGGAAGTAGTGACAGATAAGAAAAAAATGATTTATTCATAGGGCACTGGCAACTTGAATATTTGAAAAATAATGAAGAAAAATTTTAAAATTAGGAATTATAGTGAGCAGACTTGTACAGTTCACAAAATAATGAAAAAATAAAACTTTAAATGTACTGCAGTCTGTATGTTAACAACTAAATAATCTATTACACATAGCATAAAACATAAATATAAAATAGATACTTCTCAGCTACACCAGTTAACCTGAAGTTAAAGTTTATAAATAAAACTTTAAATGTACTGCAGTCTGTATGTTAACAACTAAATAATCTATTACACATAGCATAAAACATAAATATAAAATAGATACTTCTCAGCTACACCAGTTAACCTGAAGTTAAAGCTTAAAAATAAAACTTTAAATGTACTGCAGGCTGTATGTTAACAACTAAATAATCTATTACACATAGCATAAAACATAGGTATAAAATAGATACTTCTCAGCTACACCAGTTAACCTGAATTTAAAGTTTATCTATACATGGAATTTTTTACTGATTAAAGTTAAACTTGCAAATTATTTTTATTCAAAATGTATACATAATAAGTAGCAAAACCTTACAATTAATTTTCTTTTTACATATATTATGATGTTATATAATAGTAATTTCTCAGTATACCATTACCAATGTTCATCATAAAAAAACAAACAGTAAAGTAAACTTCTTAAATATAGCTATAAATTAAAACATATATATTAAAACTAATATCTAAAAGCAAATAATGAATATAGGAATACAGCACCTAGTGTACAAATATACCAATCTCTATTTCTGTGACAAATGAAAGAGAAGAATGTATTGCCATTTTCAAGTACTATTACAAATCTGACCTCTGATGAAAATTTATAAAAAAAAAAAAATGTGACTGATCCCTTTATCACAGAATTCAAGTTGACCACTAAATCTTTTTTTAAAAAATATGGTTACCTAAGTGAAACAACCCATAACTTAATATGCATACTGTATACTTGTATTTACAAAAACTAAATTGACTGATTTAAAGTGCATCAATTTAGAAAATTGATTTGGTTTAAGATAACTTTTTATGACCTTGATATCTGCCCTAATAACTCATTAGTCTTTGAGTATTATTTAATTTCTGATAGATTTGACCTATTTCTGTCAAACATTTTTGAGAATAGTTGTTAACAGATCTTTAACTTACAAGTTTTTTTTTCCATAATTTATTTACAGGGTGTTTTACTGTTACTCAATTATCTCAATACATTATCATTCAATTCTATCACTAATTTTTTAAGTATGCGACATTTATGCATATCAGTATTTGGTATGACTATGAATTACATGTCTCAAAACCTATTTGGATCTTTATTTACCAAAAACAAAATAAAGGTATCAGAAATAAACATGAAATGTGAGTCTGGCAAACACTATACCCTCCATATAGGCGTTCCTCTTTGTTTTCACTAGCAGTAGCATGCAATTGTGAACTTTTACATAAGTAGTACTGACCATGTTGGACGCTGACAATGTCAACTGTACAGCAAATCTTCCAAGCAGACCACAGGCTAAAAAAGACATGTTAATTGCATCAACAGTAGACGGTGTATCCATAGGAATAGAAGCAAATACCTCGTGAAGCTTACAGTTTGAAATAACGGCCGAGTCTGAGTTGCATTGCGTGTTTTAGTTTATCAACATTGACTAGCAAGTGCCGATTAGTCAAAACATAAGAACTGCTGTTTACATACGATGATAAAACTAAAAGTATGGTGCAATACATCCATGCATACGCAAACTGCCACAAAATACGACATCTACATTCATTAATACAAAATTAATAACGGCTGTTCCTTAGAGCAGTAGAAAGTCTGGCCACATACCGACACCACGATTTCAAAGTCGGAGACTATTTCTGCGATACCCCTACCTATACAAGCTTGTTTATAACAGCGTGTCTGTAATTAGTTTCCCAGAATTGTGTATTCTGTTACTGGTATATCAAGTTAAATCAGAAGAAACTTAATTAGGTGTAGAAAACTAAACGTGACTGATCATCAACGCGATAACGCAATACGTCATTCGGACCGTTCACATACCAAGCCATATGACCTGTCACGTACCCCATATGCACATATCGCAAACACAGTTATACATTTATAAAACATGTCGAATGAGGAGCTGTCGTTTTTGTTTTTCAATCTACATTAAAACAAGTCTAAAGTCTGTTTAATATAGCTTGATGCAGCACCTAAATACAAGTGTGGGTAATTCGATAACTTCTTTCTGTAAATCTATACTTTTCGTCTGTACTTACTAAAATAGTAAAAAGTGACAAATAGGATGTAAGTCGTTTACAAAACCGTTCATGCATTTTGGCAGCTGCACCTTTTTTTTAACATTGCTCATAGCATTATGCAATAAAATAAATTACTTTTAGTCGTATAAAACGATAAAAACCCTATAATCCCAGCGCTTTCGAAAGGTGGACCTTTCTTTTTCAGGGGTAAACATTTAGTCATATGTTTCATAATGTTCCTGCTTTGTGTTGAAATTGTCAAACATCAACGAATCCACTAGAATGCAAAAGCATACGTGAAAAATGTACAATTAAGTAATATACCTACCCATCCTACCACATTTCACAGTTATACAGTTAATGTTTTGTTTAAAAGCTTCCCTTGACAATTTGCATAGATATACAAAATAACAAGACGAAACTGCCTATTAAAAGTACCCAGAAAATTCCATCTCACGGTAAGTAAACTATCCCAAACATTCGTGGAATGTCACATAATTAAATGGGAATAGCATGTTTTAGAAAATGTGTAGTGAAAAAGCACTAGAATCCACTCAACATGTATAATGTTTTTAATGGCGAAAATTAGACATCGTTCTTACTTGATTAAAACACAACTATTTTTACAACTGTTTACAAGGAATAAGAAAGCAGGAAAATAACACTTGATTTGGGGCATCTTAGGTAAGTAGGTACATAGTAGTGAAGTCCAACTTTATCGTACTGAAGTGTCATCACACCTCCACCCATTATTAGTGGAGGCATACATGTCAGTGTGTGTGGTGTGTATAAATATAAGTGTATGTCCGAATGTTTCATCCTACTCGTAGAAGTAGTGTCCATATATATGTAGTCATGTTTCAAATCACTGACAGGTTGCATATGTAATGTTCACGACTCAAACCACTAACAGGAGTACTGTCCATATATATCGAGATTTCTCAACCTACTCTCAGGACTAGTGTCTAAACACGAGGTAATTTCCCAAACCACACGCAGGAACAGCATACATAAAAAACTGTCACACTCTATACCAGTGATTCTATTCTCAACCGGAGCATCATGACTCGCGCAGTTACGAGTCGCCGCGGGCCGGGACAACTGTGACTACCCTCAACTAACGAGTCATCAACTGCATACAGGGGCCTTTACTATTGTGCGAAATAAATAAGTGGGCCTTGAAGTGCAAAAGGTTGAGAAACTATGTTCTACATAAGTTTCCAAATTACGTAATTTTGTGCCAAAGCACCCCAAGGAAAAATATCCGTAAAACAAAGTCACATCTTTAGCAGTAAGACCACGTAAGCAGGCTTAATTTAAGTAATTGTTTTTTGTTTTTAGTGGATGCACAATGTGTCCTTTAAAAATGCAGGAATTTGTTGGATATATATTGTGTCACCATCCAAAGTCACAGGAGAGAAACTGATAATCCGGAACACATCACAAACTCGTCCAGTTAGCGGGTACGAAACAGAATATTTGGAAATTACACGAGATCTTCACTGACCAATTTGTACCGTGTTGTGTCCGGTTTCTCAAATTTTTAAAAATATAGGAAATATTAAAGATATACGAGTAAAATTTTTATAGTGGAATTAATTGTAAGTCATATCCAACAAACACTTTCATTATTTTGCAAAAAAAAAAAAAAGATGCAGGTTCAGATCTCCATACCAAGTTAACAACACATATCCCGTACTCTACATGTATATATCACATATAAGTATAAGT